GGCAAACTGACCCCTATACCACCAGGTGACCACCCTGCCACGCCACCGTCTCCTGGCAAACCGTTCCCGCCACCTCTTCCTAGCAAATGGCCCCCTCAACCACCTCCTGGCAAACTGACCCCTAAACCATTAGCTGGCCAGCCTGTCCCGCGACCGTTCCCTGGCAAATGGCATTCACCTCCTGGCAAACCGGCTCCACCACCCCCTCCACCACGTACGCACCCTTGGAAGCCTTCAGATCAACCATCAACGCCTGCGGATATACTGCCTCCCTCTCAAGATGACATGCCCCCGCCACCAGCGCCTGGAGATCTGTACCCGGCACCGCCTGCGGACGGAGCGTCCGCGCCACCGTTTCCGGATGATTTGCCCCCGCCACCACCTCCGGACCCTGATCTTTTACAACAGCAACCGGACGAAATGCCCCCGCCGCCGCCTCCTGAGCCAGAGAACCTCTTGGAGCCTACGGAGCCTTTTGGTCCTGCTGGAACTGCGAACAGGCCGGGTGAGCCAACAGGTGCAGAGGCAGCAGCAGAATCTGCGCCCGGAGAGGGAAGCGAGATGTCAGGTAATGTAGAAGATATGATAGAAGAGGGTTTGATGGCTCCCCAGGACGATCTATGTCTTGTTGTTACGAACTTTGTTGTGCAGTATGCGGGTGTGGATGAGAGTGTGCAAACGCACTTCGCAAGTGAATACACATGTATTTCTGGTGAATCTCAGGTGGGGAGGAGAACATTTGAGCATATTGCACAGCTCATTAATGGAGTGCGGGCAGTGGCACCTTCCAGTGACGCTGACCCTAAGTTGGCGGACGCACACAAGCAAAGAGCTGCGCTCCTCGTGACAGTGCTGCAAGGCATCATCGACCGCTGCAGGGGCGTCGAGTTGCGCTTCGATATAATGGAAGACTTCGGGACTATTACCGCCCCTCTAGCCGCCGAGACGGAGACCGGATTGGAAGGCATGCCGCCAAGATCTCTGAGCCGGACACCGAGCAAGCGAGGACGACGGGACAAGCGGAAAATGGGTTGCTCGTACCTTTTGGAGAGACTCGACAGGCACGTTGGAGGGTGGTGGCGTCGGGCTCAGGAGGCTAAGGAGAAAGAGGAAAAGAAGAAAAAGAAGAAGGAACAGCCGGGCGTTACCCAACGACAGGCGGAGCGTTTGGCGGACTGCCTCGGTGCCTGCCAGCATCGACTGAGAGAGGACATGATGATACCAGAGAAATTACTGCAGACCTTCTTAAGTGAGGGGGGGTCAGGGGAGCTGCTCGGGATGGAAGTTACTGCGAAATACAAAAGACTTGGGGCCTGCGGCTATGCCGCCGAGCTGGTTCGCCGGGCCCAGGAAGGCGACGGGTCGGCGTTTCGGGAATTCTTCGACTTCGTTAAGGTGTTTTCGGGTGACCTGAAGGCAGTAAGGGCATCGGATTATCACCATCCTCGTTTTGTGGAGATGTTAGAGGTGCAATGGACAAGCGAGAAGGTGGACGAGGCGTTGCAGAGCGTCATCTCGACCGAAAAGGAAAGGCGAGCAAATGCACAACAGATCAAGCGGGACGTGCTGCGCGCCACACAAGAGGCGGGTAAAGAATGCACTTCAGCGGCAGGAGCAGTTGATTTGAAGCTCATGGAACAGGTTCTTGCGTTGCTGTAGAAGAACTGGACAGCTCGAGCCGCCGGCATAAGCCACTTGTGGCTTCTGCCTTCCTTTTCCGGATTGCCCGACGCTGAGTTTGGGAAGGACGACTGGCTCGGTATCTCCGTTCTTGCTACCTCTTCCCTTCTCGCGTTGGCCCTCTCCTTCCGACTCCTTTTGGGGTGCCTCATTGGAGCTTACGTTTTGGTTGTTGCAGTGTTTAGCCGTTTGAAGAGCAGCTGAGGGCATCCTTCTCCGTGTGGACAGATGCCTCTTTCCAGGTAGGCAAAGCAAGGTTCTCCCGCCGTCCCTATGTCTGCTTTTTGAGGGACCTGGGGACAAGAAGCCCCAACTTTGTCTATTTATTTCTGTGAAGAAGTCCAGGTTCTACAGACGCACTTCAACTCGGGATTCTGATCGCTGGAAAGTGAAAAACGTCAATGTGGCGGCCCTCTTGATCGCTTAGCCCGTGAAGCAACGCTGGACGCACTGATCCCCACGACAGCCTTTTGGTGAACTTAGTGGCAACGGGGAGCCTCCTCGTAGTTTCCGCATTGACTTACATAGCATGGCTGTCTACGTAGTGCGCATTCTCTGCTGGTTCCTTCTGTGGCCAAATTCTGCCGCAGTGGCCTGCGTTGCTGCTTGTTCTGTTGGTTGCTCACACAGCTGCAATAAGGTGTAAGTGTTATCGTTGGGCCCACATACTGCTGCATTTTGTTCCGGTAGCGGTTGACCGCTCGCGCCGGAACTGGAAGGACGTGCAGTGTGGCGGTGTGCAGCTTAGGAGGGGCTGCTGTTTGCTGCAGTTAGTCACTAGACACCTCTTGCGTGATGTGGAGATGGGGACATGCGTCTTGTGGCTTAGGCATATTGGGAACCTCTGCCCTGATATGCGCTGAAGCTGTTTGTCTCTTTTGAGGTCCGTAACAGAGATGGAAAGGCCATCGGACACTGATTGACAACGGGAAGACGAAGCATTTGGCTCTCTGGATATATGCATCCCGTTCCCTGCCCAATACGATATTTTGGCTGGGTCTTCTGCTCAAGGGCTCCGCCGCTCCGAAAAGGAAACTCCTGCCCACAACTACAGGGCCTTCTTTCTGCTAGAGAGTGACGGCCGAGTTGAATCGCTTTGCTGCTCAACCACTGGCGTCGTCGTGTACGAGCCATAGAAGAGGCGACGCGCGCGAGATGACAACTCCCTGCCCAACCCTCGTGCTAACCATGCTCTAAGTGTCGCTGGATGCCTAGTCCTTCCCAACACTCCGTGCTTTTCTACTGCCCTACACGTCTGCCTCCCATGTGAATGCAACAGCCCTGCGGCGCCCCTTTACCTTTCTACCTGCACGCGCTCCCCTTCAAGGGGATCGCCAGCAGCTTGTCCTTGCCTGGAACACTTCAGGCCTAGCATGGCTCACCGCACTGCCACCGCAAGCAGCAGCAGCACAATGCACTGTAGCACAAACTGTAACGACTGTAGTTAGCAGTTCTACAAAGAGCTGCTCCTCGTGAGGGCAAAAATGCTTCTACAGTCGCAAACCTTTCCGCGTCTTCACGCATTTGGTTGCGGCTCCTTCATGTGCCCGATTCTTATACACATGAACAACTATACAGGAGGCAGGAAAAAAACTAAGTGTGGAGAAGCATAGAGGCACTTATCACCTCTCTTTGCTCGTTTCGCTTGTTCCTTGTAGCTCATCAATCTCCTCAGCGCCTCCACGGACAAAACTTACGTCTCGCAGTAGCTGCGAAAGGGCTGGCACTGGACAGCAGTTCATGCATGCAGAGATGCCTCAACTACAAAACTGCTCTTATTGCTTCACAATACTTACCGCTTCCCACAAATAAAAAAGTAACAAAAAAGAACCCCGGAGGACCCCGAGGTCATCTGCTTCGTGCAGCCGTCGCCAACGAAGGATACTGCATATTTCTCTTGGCGGCCAAGGAGGAACTGTTTCTTCTCGTCTGCGCTGAAGCTAATCGACCAGCCCAAAGGGATCGAAGTATAGAGCCGCCCCCCAGAAGAAGAGCCCCGCAGCTGCCGTGCTGAGGATCTGGGCCTGCAGCCTGTCGATGGAGAAGAGAGGACCCATGTACAGGGCAGCACCTAAACATGAGACGTACAAGAAAGCTGCCGTGACCATCTGGGGCAGTCCTCTTTTCCGGCTGGCCTGCTGGTGGGCCTCACTTGCCAAATTTACTGACTGTCCACGCCTCAATAACACAGACTGTACCAGTTCACCCAGCCCAGAGAAAAACATTCCCAATACAGCCGCGGCGCTCGCAAGCCACATGTTCTCAGGCTCCTGTAACGACTCAACACGGCTCAGCGCAGAAAGCCCTCGTTCAGGGCTGGCCAGAACGTGGGCCAGCAAATACCCCCCAATGAACAGCAGAGCCGTCAAGACGGTCTTCAAGCCCCGCACTTTCTCCCGGGGTTCCGTCAAACGCATCCCCTCCCTCACAGTCATCCAGCTAGGGCCCTCCTTGCCCACGCCTTCCGCTTCGTGTCCAACTCCCCAGCTCCAATTGCTCCCTGGAGGATCCAGCACCCGCAGGTGTTCTACAGTTGTATTCGCTCCATCCTGTGCCGATGCAGCTGCCCCCGCCTGTGGGGCTTCCAGGCCGTGCAAAAGCATCAACAGCATAAGGGTACGAGCACCTCTGGGCTGCATCTTTAGACGCAAAGTAAGCCGAAATGCATCTAAAAAACAAAATTTAATGGCTCTTTTAAAGCCTGGAGTGCACGCCTGAAGTGCACGGCCACCTCAAGTTTAGCGACGCGAACCGGGGGGGAGAAGAAAGAGGATGGAAACGGCGCGAGGCCCTCCGCACGAGGTACGAGCTGGCACACAGCCACTGGGTATGCAAGTACTGGCAAATGGTTCGGGCGCTAGTACTCACACCCAGCAAAAACGCAAACTAACCTAGAGACGCCATAAATATCCCTAGGGGCACAGGCCAGCAAGGCAACTCCGAGTGAACTGCTTAGGGTTTGTCGCCTCTTGCGTCGTAATATCAAAGGAAGAGAAATAAAAGAGGGAACAGCGGAAGTAAAAAAATCCCTCCTTTTCTTCTCGTGGTCCCGGGAAGCAATACCGCAAGGAATGGAATGAGGACGGCTAGTGTCATGAAGAGATGGAAATGGTCGCTGTGACTGCGATGCAGAGGGACTCCCCTGGAAATAAAGATGTGCTGTTAAGGGAAGAAACAAGTAACAAACCTGCGACATACCCTTTCTGCGCTGATTAATGAACGCGCCGAAAGTCGTTCCAACAGACCGCTGCGTACGCTCTTCTCGTCGCCGGTGGGGCACCGTGTCGAAAGGCCTGGGATGCGATCTTCCGTAGACAGGAGCCATGGCTCCCTTACATGTGCTTTTCTATTTTTGATAAGGAATTTTGGCAGTGTCACGTAGGTCTGCAGCTAGATGCACCTTCCTCTCACAGACTGCGCTATCAACGCGAAGCCTGCCACCGTGTGATGCCTGCCAATGTCACCCTACCCAAGCATTGGCCCAGTGTGGTGTGACAAACCTTATTTCCTAACACAGAAACTCTGAACCGTATGCATAAGCATTTAAGGGTTTGTCTAACCCTTGAGGCAGCTATTAACCGGCACTAAACTCATCGTTTGTTGGTGTCTCGGGCGGATCCTCGACCTTTGGTCAGGACCTGCGCCGCAACGAGGGCCCACGATCTTAGGTGTGCGCCCTCCCCAGGTGCAACGAAGTCATATACTCGGGAGAATAATTTCAAACACAATTGACGCCCATTCTCACCCTGAGGCGCCCTCGGCACAGAGGCCCTGGGCCTGGGGCACTAACTATGCCTTGGTGGGCACCTCCTAGTCACCCTAGACTGTTTTTCCAAGGGCTATAATCCTCCTTATGCCCTCCCAAATCGCATCTCATGCTGATTCTTAATTCAGATTAACCCTTGACTTCAATTCATTCATAGAAAAGAAATGCCACCACCTGTCTGTAGCGTCGGATAGAGTAGCAGTGGCGTTCCCAGCCACGAGCTAGACCGTCTCGGCACTCAGGTTCTCGGGGCTAGCTGCCCCCACAATGCTTAATTTTGCTTTGTTTTCTCTTATATTTTTAATTTCACAACCATTTTACATGTTTATATGTTATTCTTTTAATTTAGATGCTCTTATCGCCTTCCCCGGGAAAACTGACCGCTCCCCACACCAAGGTGCGTTTTGCAAGCCCCAAAGTGCAAGTGACCCTGCAAACTTCGGTCATCTTATCCGGTCCTTATCCAGAGTACCATGCGTTCGACTTTTTTCCAGAATTCTGTTCATCATACGCGTATTTTCCAGGTAGAACAGCTGGCGCGGAGAGGAGGCAGCCGGTCATGAGCCCCACAGCCGTGTGCAGGAGCTAATGCTAAAACGTAGCTCCACGTGCAAACACAACAACGGCCCCTTTGCACAAGCAATCACCGTAGACAATTGTAAGACGCTTTCTTGGCTATCCACTTCCAGTATTGCGCATAAGTAGATACAGGTACCAACTTCACCGAGACCGTGGAACATCTGCGGCGCCTCACACGCCTCCCCAGCGCCATTGTGATATCCGCCGCCTAAAATAGCTTGGACAGGCATCGCACGGCATCTGGCGATGCCGCTTCGTTAGACTGTTCCCCCTGCCGGCTCGCGGCGCCTGTCGGTGGGCCCGCGATCTCTGCGGTAAATATTGGGAACTGCATTGAGTGTAGATATCCGAATCTAGTAAGAACCATACACTGAGCTGCTGCCACTGCGCAACGCCAGTGAGCGCATGGGCACGGGTCAGACCAGCCCAAACTGGTGGGTGGGGACTAGCCCCGAGAAAAAGTCTTGTGGGCAGGGACACTAAGATACCCCTTGGCAGAGAGAAGATTGCAGATAGTGTCAACAAACGAATGAGAATGAGGTACCACATAGGCAAAAAGATATGAGTCCCGCTGTGCACGTGGTAATGTAGCAGTTGCCGAACCGTTGAACGCTGCCCAGATTTGACTGGCTCGCAGTCCATGGCCATACTTGCAGTCGCAGACGTTGAATTGCGAACAGCACGTAGATGCTTCTGTGGAGCTGTTCCGCAAAAGCGATCCCCGAAGAACCCTTTTGGGTTGCCTGTCGCAAGCCAATGGTCCAGTGGCCTCTACGAGTCCGTATACGCTAGTCTAGGATATCACCCTTCTCCTGCGTTTTCCCTGCTTCGTAGGTCGCCTAAGGGCCTGGGCAGATCCCTGAACACCTTTCTAATCGCCCTGGATGCTCTGTGCATGGTCTTGTTTCTCCTGTCCCTTTGCGATTTTTATCCGTCTGCGATCTCGAATTGTGCTGCGCAGCCTTCTGAGTGCCGGGTTCACCACGTGCCGTCTGCTCTGGTTTCTTACCACTTTCTGGGGTGAACTGGAATTTACAGACCCCCTAACCACAGTCTCTATGTTCCAAAGCCTTCTTCTTGTGCCTCACCCAATTCGGCGAAATTTTTCCCCCCTCTGGTGCGTATGTACACCATCGTTGCGGCAAGTCCCGTCTTTCCATTTGGCTCCCTCTTCGTTGCACAGCCAGTTAAGTGTTGACTTTCTCCAAGGATTGCTATGAATCATTAAAATACAAACTCCCAGTCCACTTTAGAACATATTGAGTGCACCTTTGGTCTTCTGCTTACGAAGAATGCATACACAGCAGCGGCTTATCGGTAGCTTTCTTTTTTTAACCGTTCTTTGCTCTCCCAAGACCTGATCATCCGTCGACCTGGGAATAAATGCAGTGCCACACATCTCCGAAACCTTCCTAATGCTTTCCGGAAAAATGGTGCCTTCGATTAAATATTGCCCCATTGCCGTGCCTCCCCTTCCAGTCTAGATGCCAAGAGCAATAGAGTACAGCTTTAGACAAGCAAGAAATTCCTTCATTGCTCCCCCGTCATGGTGCCAGTCATATTTGGAGACTTAGCAAAAGAAGAATCATTCTTCATGAACTATTTTACCGGGCAAAGCAGTTTGAGGTACATGGGCGGCGGATGTTGCGATCGTACCAGTGAGACGAGGAACCCACGCAGTGGTCGCCTCCCCGTCTGAGGGCCCGTCCTCGCTCATTTCCATCTTTCGACGGCAGACAAGGGCTGAACCTTCTGCAGAGATTTTGGGACGAACATCTGAAACGTTTCTTTCGGCCTGTCTCAGAGCTGTCTCGTACTTGACTATTCAGAGCTCTACACCCTGTCGTCCCACTTGAGCATTCGGTGCCACATTCGAGACCCCGATCTTAGCCGAGATCCGTCGTGAGCAGCACTACAGTCCAAACACTAGGTTGCCTTGGTCAGTGAAGTAGTATGTAAGAGGAATATTGAAGGTACGAAATTAGTCATGGAGCGCTAAGTTCCAATTGAAAGTACACGCTAAGCCTTACTATGCATGAAACGCTTTATGAAATTGCATGCCTGGTATCTTAAAAATTTCACAACCATGCATAATCTCGCCTCTCTGTACCAAATTAAGCTAAGATAGCTACACTAAAGGAACTTAAGGGCTACTTACGGCAACCGTCTTGAAAAGGTAGTTGACCTCTTCGCTCGTTTCCAGGCTTTTTGGGGACAATGGCACAAGGACCTGGGGCTGGTGAGGAGAGGAAGCCAAATCATGAATTTCAGCACTCCTCACAAAAGCACTTCCTGCACGGGAATAGCGCATGGAAGCATAATCTAGTCCCTGTCCGATGCATACGGTAACACTGCACACAATTGATAAACAATTCACCGGCTCCCAGTAGGCAGCTTGCGTGCATGTAGGAGTATGCCCACCAACAACAGGCAGTCCATGCTGCATTACTCTTCCCATTTTGCCTTTCGAGCAACCTCCTCCCATTCTTTCTCTGAACTTCGGCTTGACGCTCCTCCTCGTACGTTCTAGAGACACAGAGATTCTCCCCCTTCTAGAAGAGCTGGCAGGGACTTCTAGGCCACATCACTGCAGCTTCCTAGAGCCCAGGATTTTGAACCGGTGTATGCATTGTGCATGGATTTTCTGGGGTCCTCCTCCTTCTGGAGGAGGACCCCAGAAAATCCATGAGCGAATGAGATGCTCGACGCGTATGACAGCATTTTTCCTCTCCGAAAATCCACACCAAACTACCGACGGAACAATCTGCGCCTGGCATGTGCACGGAGCAGTTCTGTGCAAACGGTCGCCCCGGTTGATCTCCTTCGGCGCTGTTCTGCAATAGGCATAAGCAAATGCCGTAACTGTTCCGTACCCCGCATCGTTCATGTTTCTTCCGTCTTTCATGTTCGTGTAAAGGCTAGCGCTTATTTCGGCTTTTATCTGGTAGCCACGGAGACACCAATGTACAGTGGCGCCTGCATCCTGCCGTCGTCGGCTGGAGGGATGGACCCCATTGCATGCACAGGCCTCGCACAACACTCACGACGGCCTCGCCCGTCTGTCGGACATACACGTTTTTTTGGCTTTTTGTCCCCTGCGACTTCAACTTCTTCGTTGTCTCTATTCTTCCAGACGTGTGGCGTACTGCCTCCTTTCCCCATGAGCTGTGGATACACTTTCAGGTGGCAAATGCATTTGCTCTTGGAAACCACACACTGGCTGCCTGTACAGAGGCTGCCTGCTCAATGCTCTCCCTGTTTCTACTATTGCACGTCTCTCTGCATTGTATGTGGAATAAAAGACCAACTGGACAGCTGTTGCTTGCCTTCTCTATGCCAATTACTGCTTGGTCTTTGTACAAGTCTCCGTCTCTGCGTCTTTGCATATCTATCTCTCTATCGCTGCCATTACAAGCCCTGTTTTTATGTCTTGTTTGCCTTCTTGTCTCTCTTGGTTGTCCTGTTTTTGCCTCTCTGCCACTACTACTGCCTAGCTCTGCCAATCTTTGTTTGGGTCGCTCTTGCTCCTCGTTGCTTCTCCCCTTTGGCAGAACGAGCTCCCCATTGCTAAAGGCCTTACCTCACGATCGTCCATTCCACACAGCCCTCTCTAGCTGCTTCCCAAAAGGCAAAAGAAGGCATACAAGCCTCTCTAACCCTCGCGGGTGGCCTTAAAGGGTGCCCCCATAAGGCACCCTAGAAGACCCCCGCATGCCCCCCCACCCCCTACGGTATCCTGGCTTGGTTTGCTCTGCGAATGAAGGTGCAACCCCCCGCCCTCAATTCCTTACGTCCAAAGCGCATATCCACTGCAAAAGCGACTGCAAAAAGCATCTAATTTGCTGCTGCTGCTGCTGCGGTGGCTGGTGCCGCTGTTGCTGCCGCTGCTGCTGCCGCTTCCCCTGATTGTGCAGCAGCACTCTGAGCAGAGTTCCGCTTCGAAAGGGCCCCAGGGGGGCTTTCAGTGGCACTGTTTGCAGCGGCTTGAACTGCAGCTGGGCCCTCTAGCCACTTCACCCGTACGCCAAGATTCCAGAGAGCTGCAGCAAGCCGCACAACAGCAACAGCAAAAAAGCAGCAGGAGCCACAACAGCCTATGAGCGGACAACGAGACAGACCCGCGAGAATACTTTCCGGCATAATTAGAAGTTCAAGTTCCACAACACAGGCACCACAAGTCCACAAAATGCTTCCCAAGAGGCGCCCTGATATCTATGGGCATGGAACTAGCCCATACCGCACGTTGTCTATGGCCGTGTCTACGGGTCTATTTGTCTGTTTATGTGTAGATCAGGACATTTGCATTGGTCACTTATGCGAGGGAAAATGAGGGTATGTTTCGTGTATTGTTATATCTGCGTTCGTTGGTCTAGTCTATTTATTTCTCTCTGCTAGCTTGCTTTCCCGTTTGCCGGCGACGACTACTCCTTGCTGCGTCTGCCCCTCTCGCCCCCCGTCCCTGTCTTCGAGGGATATATCTCCTTTCCTCTGCCGTCCTTTGCATTGCCTCTCACCTAGAGGTGAAGGTGCGCCCCCCTTTGGCGTGTGGCGGCCTTCTCCGTGCGGCAGCCCGTTCTTGAACTGGCCTTTGAAAGAGGAGCCGTCTTGCCATGTCAGACACCCCTCCCCTTGCATTTTGCTGTCCACGAAATCGCCTTCATATCTAAGCAACAGTAGAGCAAGAACCACAGCAGCACAAGCAGCAACAGCAGCGGAGCAGCACGCTGGCAACAGTTCCTCTGATCCCGAGGCTCTTAAAGAACACCTAGAATTCAAATACACTTCCCAGCCCGCCCAGCTCTACAAAGATGGGCATCTTCATAGGTGTATGCCAAATTAACACTTCAGAACGAGCCAAGGAACATACACACAGGAAGACATGCATTGCCATATGTCCATACATACATGCATATAATCTCCTGTTCACAACAGAAAAACAATCAACGATAGCCCAGCCCGCTTACACCGTTGTACATGGCACACTCACTTCCCCTGCCATTTGAAGTGTACAGTGGATGCATGTGTTTTCTGCGCGACTGCGGGGCACAGGCACGGATCATCACAACAGCACAGAAACGCAGCCACGCGTGCTACTTCTGCTGCAGTTGCTGCAGTTGCCGCACCAGCAAATACTGTTGATACGGTTACGTACTTCCTGCCGTCTGTAAAGTAGAAAGTGCCTTTTCCGTGCATGCGACTCGCTCTCCACTCCCCTTCGTACACCCGCCCATCCGGCCACGAATATCGCCCGTGGCCTGTGAGACAGCGGCAACGACAGCAAAGGTGAGCGCAATTAGCGCACAGATGCAGCAATAGACGCGTTCAGCAGCGCATAGAAGAGCCAATCTGCAGCCGCAACGACCTGCTGCAACATCCAACAGCAACATTACCCAACATGCATGAACATGCGCCAGCGCCAGTACGCAGCCGCACTCAACAGCAGCAAGCAACAACAACAATGACGACAAAAAAGAGGCAGGGTTAGCGTCACGGAACGTCCTCTGTCTTCTTCGGCGCTGCAGCGCTTCTCGTAGCAAGGAGCTTCTCCACTAACTACTTCGACTTGCTTCTGGCAAGCGTCTCTGCTCCTTTCGGTTAACTCTGGAAGCGCAGTTTTCCTAGCTCGAATGCCACCTTTGCAGGCTCACCGCTCATCTCTCCCTGTTGAAATTCTCCCTCGTAGGTATCTCCATTCGAAGCCGTCATGACTCCGTGGCCAGATTTCAGCCCATCAACGAACTGGCCGCGGTACTTTGAGCCGTCAGCCAACGTCTCGCACCCCTCACCGTGGCGTTTGTCTTGTTTCCAATGGCCAACGTACCTATGGCACAAGAGAGCGAAACGCGGGGACTACCGGAACAAGAACAAGTGCTTAAGCAATGTATACATGCATGTAGAAGAGTGTTCAAACACGCAGCTAAGGATAGGGTTAAACAAGACACAGGACAGCCTCGAAGCACAAGCACTACTGGGTAGTCGGACGAAAGCATGGGCGGGCCAGCGATTCGGTGCAGGCGGCGCAGAACACTCACAAGAACACATAGACGCACCAAAGTCAATGCATACGACTGTGCATCTCTACGCTTCTTCAACTGGATGCATGAACGCACGCCCATGCATTTGGTGCACGAATGCACGCCTATACAAGCTGCTCTTCCTACAGGGAAAAGAATGTGCAAATCCGCAGGGTCACAACTGTTATGAAGCACAATGACATTGACAAAAACTAAAGGCGGATCCCTGTGTAGGCACAGTCATACTGCCACTGTCCCCAGTGTGTTTGTTAATGCCAAGTCACCAGAAATACGGGAAGAAATGATAAGCAGTGCGTATCTTACTTCGAACCATCGGGGAAGGTATATACCCCTGGTCTTGTGCGCGTTTCAGCCTTCCCCTTAACAAATTCTCCTTCATATTTACTGCCGTCTGCCCGAGTGAGTCTTCCGAATCCGTCTATTTGCCCCTGATTGAACTGGCCGGTGTACACTACCCCATGTGCCTGCCGCTGCTCCCCGCGTCCATGCTGCTTTCCGTTCCTCCACTCGCCCCTGTATGTGACCCCATTCTTCATAGCAACCTCTTCACAGTCCTCGGGTATCGTCAAGTCAACTCCTTCCAGAGGGTCCACATCTTCTAGCACGTCCTTTTCCTGCGCGGGAGCGGCGTCCGGAGAGGGGCTCCCGTTGGCTTCAGGAGACATCACGGTGTCACCAGGGCCCGTATTTGGCCCTTCCTCTTCACCTTCAGTCTTGTTTGGCTTTTCATTACTGGGCTTTGCCGCAGGTGACTGGGGACAGGCGGCCGCCGTGGCCTTGCTCCCTGAACACCCCATTTAAACGGCGACTTCTTAACTGAGCGGAGTAGCAGGATATATCCTATCAGGGACACTTGGTTAAAAAAGGCACCGGACAGAGCAAGGAAGAGTGCCCTTAACACAAACAAAGTCTGCAGACAACGGAACTCCCCCCTCCCTTACAGGCAACTGAAACGGCGGCGAAGAATGCCAACCTCGTAGACTGCTTCATTAATTACTGTGAATAACGTTTAAAACTGAAAGGATATCTCTCAGTAGAAGCTTGTTGCACGGCTTTCTTCTTTCTGATTCCCGTGGCTGTCGCAGCGCTGACCGGCGAGTCCAGTGGGAGCCGTGGCTTCGTTCTGAACTAAAAACAATGGAGAGTAAAGGAATCTTCGAAATTTGAGGGATTATTTATTATTGTGACACAAATTAGTGTCTGCAGTTATCCACAGGAGCCGATATTTCGGCAGGAATGTCTGCACTCTTGCTTCATGGTGCTCGGCTCGACCACCAGCAGATGGAAGTACCGGGCTTTGCAGTTCGGGGCTGACCCCGAACTCCAGCCCATCGCATCCATCCAGGCAAGAAGGTACCATGCCATCTCATTTAAAACCTTTATAATGACAGAACAACTCAAATCTTCCCGGCCTGTTTCATGCGTGGGGAAAGGTCACCGGGGAATACCACGCATGCGCTCTCTTCCAACGGACGTTGACGAACCCCCCGCAAGCCTGACAGAAAAGGCACAACAACAGGCCAGGACCTCTACAAAAACTCATTTTGCCATTAATAAGTGTACATCCAAATAGCCCTTCTATCCCTTCAATGTCTACCAAGATCACCAGTCATTCCACTGCCCGTTAGGGAGGCTGCGTCGCTAGCCCAGTACTGGCGGAAAAATGGAAAGCGGCGCATTAGGGTACAGCATATTTTGTAGATGCCAGGAAGCGATTCGTTTCAGCCTGAGTATAGCTTGCCCCAGGTTAGAGTGCAAGCGTTAAGGCAAGCAGGACCGGAACTGGGTATGTACCGCGGAGGACCCTCCTTCCTTTGGAAAGGAGGGTCCTTTGGCGTTTCTGTGGTGTTTCCCCTGTCCAAAGCTTTCCGCAACATCACTTTTATGCCGGATGTATATTTCTCAAATGAGTATCCAGAGGCCCCTAACATGCGCGTACTGGGAGGGCCGTGCTGCCGATGCAACGCTCGCTGCATCGGGGCCTCCAGCAGAAGAGCAGATCAAGGGAACTACTATGACTCCCTAGACCAGCGCCATTGCATATAAGGAATACTAACATTCCACGGTGCCGTACGCGGCTGATGCTTATGCTGCGGGGAAGTGCTTCCCATTTTCGATCAGAGGCGCCACCAATTGGTACGCCGAGGTAGGCAATTATTCACCCAGGCTAGTTCAGTTGAGTCTAAGACAACGTATATGCTACGTATATGCCTTTTGCCCGTGCTAAGATTCACAAGTCCCATTTTCCTGTGTAAGAGGACCTACGCAAATGCGGAGCGACGCAAGTGCATTTCCATACATTGGGCGTAGGCTGTTCGTAAGCACGCAGGAAACCTCTTAGACGGAGCTGGACGACTTCATCATAGAGACGAAGTAGATTAGTTTGGGTAAGAGGAAAGCACACTTTCTCCTCGACTGTGCATACACCCACAGGGGCGGTGCATAAAGATGTTTCCTGGAAGATGGTTCCATTCACAAGCTAAGTAATTGCTTTTGCCTCAGATATCGAGCAGCCGTTGGCACCCAAAGGGCCAAAGGATGATGGCAGGGCATCCCAGGGAAGTGTGTTAAGGCGCGTAGCTGCCCAAACAGACAGTGACAGAAAGGTGCTGCTTGAGCGACAAGCAACGCAGACGGTACAAATACCATTACTCTTAAATAATTGCACATATTTCCATTCACATACAGATGCAGTTAATGGACCCGCCTCTAGCAGTGCGTTAGTACGCCTCACGAGCAGCATTTTCTTCGTCCCGAGATTTGCTGAGAAGACATCGACACCGCAGCATCTCATTTAGCACACGGATCCATGTACGCATTCCTCTCCACTGAGCAATGTCTCATGGGGAACTTCCCAGGTGCTGCAACAGGGTAAAACCAAGAAGGGCAGCGATCCAGAATACTGCCAAAGAAAGGCAATGACAGTCAAAGTATGACGTTGACGACTCGATTTCTCTGACCACCGATAGCCGAAGTGTGTACATATTTTCACCAACTGCATGCTCGTGACACCCGAAGTGCATAGACAGCAGCCATGGTACAAGAATTCGAGTGGCCATTGCACTCTGCGCCTACCCGTGGGACTGCAGCCTGACTAGACAGCTGCTGCGATGAAGATGATGCAGCAGCCCGCTCTGACTGGGGCTCGACTGGGCCAGGAGAAAAGCTGCAACGAACTCACAAGCAAATATTCTTTGAGGTGTGCTTCCAACGCATTCCACACGGGTGGAAAATTGATAGTCTACCGCCCCTTCCCCGCCCTGCGGTAAACCTCTGGGAGTAGCCCCGAAGTGCATTCTTTGCACATTCGCTTGCCAGCCGACCGAAAGCACAAAAGAAGGACAGCCGTCTTTTATTGTACTTTTAGCAGCCAGACGACTACCTGGTTGCCAAAAACATGCCTCACCGGATGTCTCGAATTCTACTCGCCGCGCACCTTGCATCCAAGCACATCCAGAGAGCAGCAAAGCATAGTAGGTGCCTCCACAGCATGCATGTTCGAGGCTTTGCACAGAAACCCCTTTGCGAAAATCTGCTTCAGTCGGCAATGAATAAAAGATGTAGCAGATAGGCTGGTAGGGAAGGTGACGTACATGAAGGCCTCCTCAACATTGACGTTGCCTTTGGCAGACGTTTCAATGAAGGGAATTGAATACTCGCGAGCCAAATCCTCACCCTTAGAACGCGAAACTTGCTGCAGAGGCCACATAAGAAACCAAAATACACTTCAAGCGGGGCAGCAGTTGGTGCGTGGCCCACTCCATCTCGAGGTGCTGTATTTGCCTGTGTGCAGGCGTGTTCACAACTACAGTTTGTTCAGAGTGGTGCTGCTCATCCCAGCTGCAATAGATTAAGGCTTCATCTGGCACCTATTCAAATGGTAAACCTCATTTGTTTTCGATATTTACCCTCTGGGACTGAAGATCGAGCTTGTTGGCAACTAAGACGCGCACGATGCTCGGGTCTGCGTATTCCTCAACGTTCTGCATCCATCGCCGAATGTCTGTAGGAGGGCAGAAAAAGTGGCAAGTAGGCGAAACGATGCTTCAATTCAACTCAAAATGATTGAAATAAAGCATCCCAACAGGCGTATGAGATAACTGTCACCTAACCACGCAGAAGACGCACTGAGAAATGTCTGCAAATTCGTAATGTCGTACACCAGCATGACCCCCATGGCGCTCCTGAAGTACGCTGAGAAAAACGTCAAAAGAGCGCATTCCACTGACTTCGGCTTCAAAGTGGGTGAGAGATCTTCCTATTTTTCCTTGCATACAAATGAAACGGGAATAGGGGCACGCGGGGCCCTGTCTGTTTGAGCGTGCAGCCGCGTTACTCGTCTTTGCAGGGAACTGCACATTTCCTATGTATATGGTTCAACGATTCCAAATTGCTGCATATTTTTAACACTAAATTTACCTGGGGTAATGGTGCGGAAACGCTCCTGGCCAGCAGTGTCCCACACTTGCAGTTTTATTCGTCGCCCGCCGCATTCGACAACTTTTGTCTTAAAGTCCACTCTGAAAAGTCCCCAAAACAGAAATGAGTGCAGACCCAGGCTGCTCACATTTTCCAACGGAAAGCGAAGCACACCAGCATAAATAGCCTCTTCTGTTCTGCTTTTCCACACGCAGGCCTAATTTTCGAAATAACATCACCAATGTCTGAATCAGTAAGCTGAAGGTGACATCTTCTCACCCGATGGTCAGCACGAAGTTCGGGTCGAATTTATTCTCGGCGAAACGTAAAAGAAGGCTCGACTTGCCAACGGCTGCACGTAACGAGAAGCATACCAAAGTGAAGGCTGTGCACGCAGCATACGCAACAAGACTCTAAGCCAGGCAGTGCATGCAGCAGCACGGTGGCAAAGGCGGTCCAGTCAAGTGTCTATGGATATTCCTATCGGTCTTGCGCAATGCCTTCCGACTACTTCCTGCGCTTCTCCTCTGAACGAACTTGAACCCACAACTGTCGCCTAGGACCAACAGCTTAACGAGGTGGTCGAAGGGCTCTGCCTTCTCTCGTCTTCCTCCGCGGTAGGACATCTCTTCCGTTCAAGGAAGCCTGCTCAAGTGTAATCAAGCGCGCAGATTTATAAGCATCTTGAGCAAGTTGTATTCCAAACTAATTCAGAATCATACTTCCACAAGCTTTGCCTTCTGCTGGCTACTTGTCTTTCAAGAGGAAGCGCTCTAATCTACCAAACTCCTGCTGCCCTTTCCCTCCACTTACCCCTTTCCCACCGATCAATCAACCCGCGGGGCAACCTTCAAGCAAAGACAGACAACCTTGTACAACTGGCTGTCTTCGCGGCTGCAGATTTTGTCCAGACCCTAGCTGAACGGCGCATGCGTCGGTGTGCTGAATGCACTGCCAAGCCAGAACTTATCAAGGTACTAGTAGGACTCATCGCCCTCAGCAAAGACCGCAAGGCAAGGCGTTGCCCTCAGCGCCCAGTTAGTCTGTGGCTCCCCATGTGGGGGCCTCCTCGGGCGACGTCTGCAGTGCGTATCCGTGTGAGTAGTTCCCCACGTGTGAAAACAAAGACACGCTCACGCACGGATAGATGAGGTAGGATATTAGCTCCAGGTAGCCAATTTTGATCTAATGCAAGAAGGGGTCTCAAACCCTTGGCTACTGCAACTGAAAGCCTCCACCCCCAGCTATGTCTGCGGCCTAAGCAAACTGGGAACTACAGTGGGAGCAACTCCAGAAAGTGTGACGCTTCCAGAGACAAGGAGGCGAAATGAGGCACCTATGGGGCTCGCTAACTCAAGAGCATGTCCGCTTTCTGCCTTGAGTCGAAAGAAGGAAAGAAATCAATAGGAATGGCAGCACAGAGGCGGTGGCAGGAGTGTGTAGTTTCGGTGAAACGGACAAATCCATAGGGAACAAAAGGTGCTGATAATTACGCAAAGACCGAATGCAAAGCAAAACAAATCATTATGCGTTAAGGAAATATCACAAGGTTTGCCCTCTATTGGTATTTACCCACAGCCGACACGCGAGATGGGACCTGCCCCGTTTCTGGGGCTGGAAAGGGGGGCCCCCCGTGCGCCTCTGTAACATACTTTATTCTAGAGCGCCAGGGTTGAATGTTTACATTTCGTCTGTCGTTCAACCATTGATCGGAGCTCTCCGAAGCAGCCGGCAAAGTTGATTGGCTCCTCTCTTTGCTCTAGAAGGGCACGGGCAGCCCACACCGGTCTGTAACTATGGGCCTGAGGTTTGCCGCCAGTTGGCCTTCGTCTTTTTCTGTTGCCACATCCCCTTGCATCTCACTTCCCCCCAAGTACACACTTCTTAATCTCTCGTTAGTGCCCAATCGTTAAGAAGCCCATGCTAAATATGCTGGTAGTTGACTGAAGTAGCTCAATTCCCGTGTGTACCGAGAGTCGTCGATCTTATCCAAAGACCGTCGTGAGTTGCAATAGAAGAAAAATAGTTAAAATAGAGTCCCCCCAAAACACCTTACTTCCCTCTAGTCTCCAGGGTCCTCGGCATAGCGACAGAAACGCTTGGGCCGGTGCGGAGAGCTGGTCTAGCATGGCCTGTCTGAAGCTGGTACATGTGCTTCTACTTGCTTGCAGTCTGCCTACTAATGACACAGCAAGTGCTCAGCAACTAGCTACAATGTTCGTTCCTGTTGCAAAGGATGCTTGTTCGTGTTGCATCCGTGGTTACCATGCAGCACTAGCTGCAGCAAGGTGCGTTGCAACTCATGGCAGGCGGCCTCCTCTCGAACCAGCCCCATTCCCTTGTGCCAGCATGTGCAGGATGCCTGGAGACTGCATGGGAGGTCAGCTGGTCTTAGGAACCCGTATTTGACTTCATCGCATGTGATGACAGCCCACAAATATGGTTAACTCTCGTTACACGTGGACCCTCGCGGGATTCGGCGCATCTTGTTGCAACTCCTGCTGCACAGCAACCGTAAATGCAAGCGTGCTATCTCCTCCGTTTGACAATTGCTCTAACACTGTAGGCATTCGATAAATGCTTTCTGGATCCTGAGTAGTCAGTCTTACCCACTAGGGACAAACTATGCTATGCCTTCTCCCCTGCCCTCTCCACCAAGCAACACTCGCCCTCGAGTGTGTGCTCAGCCAGAATGGGACGGATGAACGGTGTGGTAGGCTCCTGCAGCACTTGCTACTGTCGAAAGGTCACAGCCCCGGAATCTTTGCACGGTTGGCGCCGGTCTCACTGCTGCCAAACCTGATATTTTTGGAGAACTGCTCTTACAACCTGGTGCGTTTTCCATTCTCTCCTCGGTGTTGTGGATATTTCGATGCACTTCTTGGGGAGGTTCAGCAACTCGGGAAGAATGCTTTCGCAGTGGCCCATGATGCGCGCGCAGTGTGCTTGCTGCTGTTGCGTTTCGTCAGGAATCAAACAGAAAATAGCTCAGACTTCCTTTTCCAAGTCTATGGTAACCTCAATGACGTCGGAGATAAGTTCGCTGAGAAGAATCTTTCTTTAACTGCATCAGGGTGCTGAAGCTCAAGCTTATCCACTGCTGAAAATTATCGTCAAAGGCAGAGGTTCCTTTGTTCTCCATCTTCGTAACAAGCGTTTTCGCAGAGAGGCAGAATGCAGGTTGTGAGACTTTGCAAGTACAAGTTCTGGGGCGTGCACCAGAAAGATATGCTAACACGCAAAAATGCGTTTGAAAGTGCACAGCAGTGAGGCGGGACACAGGCTCCGCGAGCCGCATTTGGGTCTGTATGCTTATTCGTGATTTTGCCCTTTAGAACACCTCCTGCAGTTGTTCTCCTTGTGTGCAGGTGTCTTCGTTTGCATGTTAGTCACTTTGCGTGCGTTCTTGCTACGTGCGTTCGTCACTCTTTCTTCACAGCTGGAGGGACACGCCAGCAGGGTGGACAGTAGTAGGAAGTTTGTTTTGTGCTCCTCAAGCCCTGCTGGAGGTGTTCTGTGAGCCCTTTCATGACAACTCCATTCTCTTGTTCGCTCGGATCTTAAAAGCTCAGTGCTCGGCTGAGTCTCTATGTTGCTGCAAGCGCTGCTGACAGCAGCGGCTGCTCCTGTGTATATATCGCGCTGCATACGCATCAGCAACTTGTGAACACATCGTGAAGACCGCAATTGAGTTTCGCCGCTACTGCCTGTGCGACTGTATCAGCATCTTCCGGCTCCGAAACTCCTACAGCAACAGCTGCAGCAGCAGCTCTTCTCGCTGCAAGTCCTGGCCCTGTTGATTTTGAACTTGTTGCTGCTTTTCGTGCCGCTATAGCGGCTGTTAGTGGCTTTACCGGTTTTGCCGCCTCCAGCGTTGCCGTTGCCGGTGGTGGTTGTGGCCATGCAACCTGTCCAATCAACACACACAAGCAAGAGGACAAGCGGCATCTGTGCTGCTGCAGGGAAAGACGTTGGTGCAGGCGCCGCTGCTAAGTCGACGCGAAAAGAACTCCACTCTCTGCAGCAATCTTTGCGTATAGACACAATCCCCGGAAGTGCAGCAACAGCAGCAGCATTAGCAGCAGTAGTAGTCTATGGAGGAGTAAGCGCGACAAAACGCGCTGCTGCCGTTGCTGCTGGAGCAGCGGACACACACATGCTTGTGGACGCAAAAGTGCAACACAAATATCTCTTAACAAATACACTAGAAAAATGCACTATTAGTTTTTATGGTGTTCCGCACATTGTTGCAGGAGCATATAATGATGCTCTCTGGGAGGCGAATGAAGCCCTTCACCTCTGCTGCTGCTCAAGAACAAACTGCTGCCTCTATTGCTGTTGCTGTTGAGCGCATGGCGGTGCGCAAGGCCGGACTTGTCACAGTTCGTTAAAGCGTCCTCTGCCGCGCACCCCGGTTGGGTTACTCTGTTGTAGGACGGGCATCCCATCCTGTGCGTGAGTATGAACAGCCATCAACCAGATCATAACGTCAAAGAGCGAGAGAGGGTGAGATTGGTCTGGCAAGCTCGAAAAATGGGAGGGCCAACCCAAACATATAATAAAGTGAAAGGGCAGTCGGCAGAGGCGCCTGGCTAGCCATGGGTAGTGGAAGAGCCCTACATCACAGAAGGGATGACGGGCTCGTAGATAGCAATACATGGGCCCTTCAGCAGAGGCTACACATCAATTGTCCAAAATGGCTTGTACCCGACCAGCATTATTTCACGCATCGCGTGCCCACCTTTGTCACAGCCGCTGTGTCAAGGCAGGTTCCGTAGGGTCAGCACTAGGACCTTTAAGGGTCCTAGTGGTGGCCCTAAGCTCGCTATTCTCATTGCTGTCACGGACCTAAAGCTCCTACATCACTGCACACATTGAACAATTTTGTCATTGATTCCGCTTGAGTTCAGTCTCAGTAGAGAAAAAGAACTACTTTTCTTCCCTTTTAGATTCACCTAGCTCCTGGCGCTCTACGCCAGCGCTCCCAGGTAGCGCCCCACACCCCACCACGCCGGTGCGGGGCTAGCGCAGGGCTTGGGGCCTGGCAAACCCCTCAGCTTGGGTGACGCTACCTGCCTGGGCCTCGCTCATCACCATCGTCGGGCCTCGATCGTCAAGCACTCAGTCATGGTATTGATCCGCTGGCTTGTTAATTTTCCCGATTTTAGAAATCCGCCAGCAATGATATCGTGATATCTCCATTTTGCGAGTGAGTCGACTATGCGACCAACGCGTTAACCATAAAGCCAATGCCGAAGGGCCCCCCTCAACTGATGGAAAACTTCTTCGGCTACTCGCTGTCCTGCTGGTGTCTGTGTATTCGTCATGCATCCCCGCGCTGCCGCAAGCTTTGTATGGACGCTGGCAATTGGAGCATACGCACATGCCAGCGCAACTGTGCATGCATACGGGGTTGGTTCTCAACAGTCAAGTCTATCGTCGGGTCAGATAAAGATTTGCCGTTGTAGACCAGGGAAGGTGGAGAACAAGAGGTGCAATAAAGCACCGTTGCATAGCAGATGTCCTCCTAACCTGAGCGACAGGAAAGTCAACGGTAAAGAAAATAGCTCCCAAACGTAGCTGGCATCCCGTCCACTCTCCACACTTCTTGAAACCCGCGGGACAAGCGCCTGGGAAAGGTGTAGAGAGGAGGCGGGCTTCCAGCGGATATCGTGGGCTGCCTGACCTTGGTGAGTGTATTCCCACTTCAGTACGGGTTGACAACTGAGCGCTAGGTAAGTTTTGAACCATTGGTTATAGCGTTCTCGCATGTATCCAATGGGGGGCTTCAGCGTACTTGCATGGGGGTTGCCTGGCAACAGGAGCTGTAGCAAGGTTCGCTGTAGCCCGTGATCGGCGCCTTTCTTGAACAGGCCCAGGTCATCCTGCCTCAGTGAGCACGACACCTGGAGCCTAGAGGGGATGCCGGATGGTTTGGGAAACTATTGTAGTAGGTGTTTTGACTCCGCTGCAGCTCACGGCTGCCCTCTGCTAAAAGGTTCTGGACTCTCGGTGCGGCCTACCTTGCTGCAACTCCAGCCGCAAGGCAACCGCAGATGCAAGCATAGCCAAGAACCTCTTGCGGCAGTGACTAACACCAAGAACAATTGTTAAACACATATTTGGCCCTCAATATCCAGCCTTCACCCAGGTAGAACTAATTGCCAGAACTTCAGACATAGCATGCTGCCATGCTACAGTGTTCGTGCTCGGGCTACTGTTCAAAACCGAATTACCCTCCTGCCTCCCTAAAAAGGGCTTCGCTTCTGGAGTTTGCATTTGGACTCACCATTGGCGTGCATCAGTTGAGCCTACCTAATTCCAAGGTGTACCTTCAGACGCCATCGGCCACATCCAAGTATTATGCAACTGCCGCTTTACAAACGAACGCTTGTCCGTACTATTGCATATTAATGCAAAATGAGCGGTTCAATTCATTTGATATCTAGTTTTGAAAGCTATTTCAACTCTTCAGCTCTGAATCCTGACGGGGCCCAGGAGATGGCCACGCCGGTGGGGACCATCCGCAGCGCGGTAGGTCCGCCACGGCAGTAGGCTCCTTGGTAGAAATGCAGCTTGCCTCTATGTCTTTCACCACCAAACAAAAACAGGAAATGGGGAGTGCTTTGAAGATACAACTTCTTTGCCTCAAGCCTTTCCGTCCGTGTTTCTCTCGACCCACCCAAACAACAACACGCTAGCGCAGTGGTCTGCTGCTCGAAATCGCAGTGCGTGGTCTTTTTTTTTCACTATTCGTTGCAAGGGCAGCTTTTGCAATTTGCCGCTTGCTAGTGATCTGCTTCGGGCCTCTCAGCCTGGTGGTTGTTCGTGCATTTGCCTTGCATGCCTCGGCGGACCTTCGGGCCCCTCGCGGTGTACTTCTGGGTGAAATCAACGACCCCATAGGTACCTCCAGCCCAGTAATGTACAGGTGGCCTGCCCTTTAGTCCAGCCTCTTCCCCTGTTGGGGGCTGTTTACACCCCCGAGGCCCGAAGCATCACCGCGTGACGCTTTCCTGCCTCCTGAGTCTGTCTGGAAGGACCAAGGACTCTATTGGGGGAGTCCACCTTTTGTAGACGGTCTCGCGGGAGCTCACTACGCATTCTGAGGAAGCGAGGACCACGGCGGGACGGCGAAAGGGTCTCAGGGTCTAGGAGACTGTGCCAGACGTCGTTACAGTCACTTTTTTTTGAGCCCCCTGGGTCAACTTCTGTATCACTGCTGGCTACAGCATTGCTCTCTGTGGTGGCGGCGGCTAGTGGGAAGCGGATTTACTTTATCTCGAGATTCGAGAGGAGAAAAGAACGGTGTCTGCTCTGATGGATCCGTTCGTAGATCTCTCTGTCGGTCTCCTAATGATGCGGTAGGGGACCTCCCACACGAAAGGGTGTGAGGAGCATTGGCTAGAGCTGATCGGCATTTTCTTGCAGGCGCCCTTAGATATCTGGGGCCGCTGGCCTCAGGCGTTACGCAGATGCATTGTTCGTGGTGCTTGCATGTTCAGGGGATCTGAATGGCACTGCGGCATGGGCTGAAACGCGATATGCAAACTGAAGATGTGCTTGGCACTCTTGTTGAGGAAGTGTGCTGCCCCTTTTCTGGGCATGGGGCCTCTGGTGGGGATCACGTTCTTGTTTTAGGGAAGTGTTAAGGTTTCCGGCCATGGCTGGCTTCTTAGGTGCCCTTTTGCATTCAACGCACGCACTGCGTCTCCTCTTCATGAGCCTTCCGATTCGCTGGCGCTTTGGGAGGTCGGGTGTGCGGCGAGGGCTTTCAATGACAGAAACGCCAGCCAAGGCCGGCGTGTCCTCCGCTCACAGGCTCCCATAGGAATGCCCACAAACAGCAGCACGAAGTACACGACTCCAAGCCCATCGCCGCCTTAGCCAGTTGCTTGCGCGCAGGCGTAAGGGCCCTGGCTAGCGTTTCCGCCTCCTCTTTCTGGCACCTTGGCGGCATGGCCCCCGTTGAATACTCCTTGTCGTATCAACTAGATCTCCAAAATTTCTCTCGCCTCTCTTGAGTCAAGCGCAGGTCTCGAGAGGCCAAATGACTGTCAACTCCTTCCTGACAGATCTAGCAGGCAGCTTTCACTTCGGTGTCTGCACAGCATAGGGGGGCATTTGAAGTGCTGCGGCTTTCCGCGGGGACAACTGCAGCAGGGAAGAAGGCAAGGCTGGTAGTGCTGCTGGGCATCCATCCGCGCCTCACGTGCACAAGATAGTGCCATCTCCTGTTGGCGTAAGACGGTCCCATACGACGCTGCCCCTGCAAAGTCAGCAGGTAAAGATCTGTTGGGGGCACTGGAAGCTCTGCGTTCCAGTTGCTTCATTGGGGTCCCGTCCTTCCTGCGTCGCTAGCTCCTCCTGCTAACGCTTCTGCCACGGGCCTCCCCAGCCACATCAGCACAACAGCATCAGTACAACGCAGCAGCACGTGAAGCCCCGAAGGAGTGGCAGGGGCAGCAGCTGCTGCGTGAGGCCCTTTGAACGCGGCTGGGGACCATTATTTCGCCATGCTCGATAAAAGCGCTCCACGTATGTGTGCGTACGCACACCGCAGGCTAGGAGCCGGATATAAAGGGGGCCCCTTTGCGTTCAAAGAGACTACGTCCTTTGGGATGGACTGCTTCGATAATCCTGGTTGTTTGCCGCTTGCGGCACAAGCGCAACTTGCTACTGTCAACTGTAGCAGCACAACCAGCTGCTTGTGGGAATTGCAGCGATACAAGCAGCTGCTTCTGGAAATTGCAGCAGCAGCAATAGCTGCTGCTGGGACCTGCAGCAACACAAACAAATGCAGGCGAGTTTGCTGGCTGGTGCTGCTGTGAGTGCCGGAGGCATTTTGCGTGCGGGGAGCTGTTCGTCGTGTACCTGCCTTCCTAATGAATGCAAAGGGGCTTGGGTCGGCTGCATGCTTCTGTTGTTCGTTTGCTTTTATGTAATTTCCGACCTCACCCGCCGGTGGGTCACCAGGGAAGGATGTGGAGATACACCTTCAAAAGAAGCCGAGCGGGGGCTTCCTCCTCTTTTTGCGGCGTTTCCTTTCGAGGACAGTTCTCGGAGTTTGTTGCAAACGCTTTAGGGGGCTTTCTGACTTCCTCGGGGCTTCTAGGTTTGGTCATGCGTGTCACTGTTGTTAACCATCCCTTGGCTGTTTACGTCTCTGTGTCTTTTTTCTTGGGCTTCGCTGCCCTAGTCCATCTCCTCTTGTCTTACTCTGTTTGTCTGTGCCTGCCCCCTTTGTGTGCAGGCCTCTCTTTTTGTCTTCTTCTGGGTTTCATTGTAGGGATGCGTTTAGCGTGGCTCGTGTTGTCTGCGTGCCTGTGTGTCTGTGTCTGGGTTTCTATGTCGCTCTTCTCATGAGCTCTGCTGGAGCACAGTAGCACGAGGTGCAAAGGGCTCCAGTTTTTGGCTGAGTTTGCCGGTCGTTACAGAAAACTGACAATACCAAGCAGTTGGAATGTTGAGTGTCCATAAGCAAGCACCGCCTTCTGCCCCCTTCTAGGGAGCACTTGCCTGAGTACCCCTAGAGCCCGCAAGCTCGAGAAGCCCTCACATATATAAGGCTTACATATCCGTAAAGCCGTAAACGCTCAGCCATGACCGTGAGGCAAAAAGGCTCCAAGAGAAGCAATGCTACCCGCTTCTCCTGCATTGCAGGAGAGGAGGCATTCAAATCTCCTCTTTTCATTACATATGAAATAAACACGGCATGGCTGAGAATAGGGCCATCCGCCTATCGGGGTACACTCGGCAAAAGCAATGTATGTACCTTCCCTGGACTGCCCCTACCGTGACCTGTGCAACCACCAAATCTCAAGAGCGTATCTCCACGTATCCTCCGCTTCCGCGATGCATACATGCGAACTCTATAATAGTACCTGCCAAAGCTGACACGGCAGCCGCAACAGCAGCTGCAACACAAAGAAGAGCTCCAGGTCGCGCCCACCACCCCTACTTGTGCAGCCTTCTGGGCTGCTAGTGCTGCTGCAGCAACACCGAGACCGCTGGGGGTGCAGCCGCCGTCCATCGTCTGCCACAGAAACAGCAGCTACATATTACGATGGTTCTAAAGCAGCCTTCAGTTCTTCAACGACTTCAGCGAATGTCGGTCGGGCCCAAGGATCCTCTGCCCAGCAACGGCGCATCAAGTCTCTGCAGGCACCAGCAAGCAAGCCCTAAACCATAGGCCCTAAACGCCAAACAACAAGGTCAAAAGCCCAAATTGCATGCGTTCGCTCACCGCAGCACGGGTGGACACATGGGCAAAATGAAACGCTCATCTGGGCGTTCCCCTCGAAGCACTGCGGCACAAATGTCTGGGGGAGGCGGCAGCCAAGCATTCCTCCGATCTATCTGCTGTTGCTGTTGCTGCTCCTGTTGCTGCTCCTGCTGGCGCTGCTGCAAGGGAGCGTCTCTCGGTCGGAGGTACGGAAGAGCTTCAGCAGCCAACTCGTACAGAACAATGCCAAAGGCAAACACATCGACGGGGGGGCCCTGGGGAAGGCCCCGCATAACCTCCGGCGGCATCCAATGCACTGTGCCTACTGCTCGTGTCCGTATGGCACCAGGAATCGGCGCTGGTCCACACGAATACCCTTCCAGCTGCACTGCTGTTGCTGCAGCCGCCGCAGCAGCAGCCGCTGCTGCTGCGGAATCGCCACCACGACCCGTTGCTGTGGCCAGACGACTCAAGCCAAAATCCGCTACCTGCAGCAGCAGAATCCGCAACAGCAGCTACGACAACCATCAAATGTAAAGGCGCTTACGCAGACCTCCAACACATAACCTATAATGTCCGCAGCGGGGCTGTCAACTGCAGCGGCCGCTGCCGCTACTTCATCAGTAGCATCAATGAGGAATACAACACCACGAGACGGCAAAAGCGTCAATACAGCAGCATCAGCAACAGCAGCACCCACAGCAGCGGACAAAGCCGAAACAGCAATACAGCAGCACCCGCTGAATCAGAAAAAGATTTGCCAAGAAGAGCAGCGGCAACAGCACACGACAGCGGGCAGAGACAAAGAAGTGCACAGAGCATTAACAGGAGCACCAAGGGCAGCAGCATCCTTGAACCTGGGCTTTTGCTGGTGTTTTCTACCTTTGCAAAAGGAGTTTGTTTGTCGCTCGTGATTCTCTCGACCAGCAAAATGTTTAGGCTTTTTAAGTCCCGATGCACAACCGGAGGCTGTGATGCATGCAGATAAGCACAGCCCCGGGCAACGTCGAGAGCGACCTTTAGCTTCTGAGCCCACGTCAAGCGCCGCCGCTGCTCTGGAGGTTGCGCCGGCTGCTGCTGCTGCTGGTGCTGGGGTGTCTTCTGCGGGGGAGGCTGTGGAGGGCGCTGCGGCAGTGAGTATGGTTCCTGATCCTGCTCCTTGAGATGAGGGCGACGCTGCTGACAATCCTGTTGTTTGAGGTCTTCGGAGGCTTCGTGCGTCGCTGTAGCCGTTGATATGTTTGCCATTGCACTTGACGCCTCTGCTGTTACTGCGTTTCCTGGTAAACTTCCAGGAGTGCAGCTTCGGGGAGCTGAAGGCGAGTTGTCATGAGCTGCTTCAGACCCCGCGGAGGCAGCACATGGAGGAGCAGCAGCCGCCGCAGCATTCGCAGCCTCAGCAGCAGGAGCTGCAGCAGGAACCGCCGACAAAGAAGCTGCAGGAACTTCAGGAGGAGGCGCAGCAACAGCAGCGAGCGCATCCTCCGGCCTCCCGTGCAGCAAACTAAACAAACTGCCCCCAGCACACAACTCCATCACCACTGCGAGCCCCGGACCGCAACATCCGCTTGCTGCTAGCAGCTCCGCTGCGCTATTCGAATTCAAGGAGCCGCTGCTGCTGTTCCTGCTGCTGGTAATGCTGCTGCTGTTGCTGCTGCTCGCAGCGTCGGCGTCCAGCGCGCATGCCCCCATCAGCAGAACGAGGTTTGGGCACCTCAGCCGCTTCATAATTTGTAGCTCTCGCGCTGCCGCGGCTGCTGCCGCAGCAGCAGCAACAGACGCGTTTCTTCCTTGCTGCTGTTGCTGCTGCAACAGCTGCTGCTGCACCATCGGCAGTACTTTCACTGCCACATCACAGCCTCTCCATGCGGCCTTTAAAACGGTTCCTGATGCACCGCTTCCGATTCTAGAGTTGATCTTCAACTCTCTAGGATCAACTCCAAGATTCAACGCCTCCAGCCTGGCTTTCAGACCCCTCAGGCAGCAGATGCTGCGGCCACTGCTACCGCGGCAAGCCACACAGTCGCATGCCAACGCAATTCCGCCGCCGGATCCTGCTGCAGCAGCAGCTGCTGCAACTGCGGCTGCTGCTGCGGCAGCGGCTGACAAGGACGGCGTCGCAGGCCAGCTTGGCCTTTCTACTACGCCCTGCCACTCTGAGGTCTGTGCCAGCTGCTGTTGCTGCAACTGCTGCAACTGGTGCTGCTGCATTTGCTGCAGTTGGTGCTGCTGCAGCTGCTGCGGGTACTGCTGCTGCTGATATTGGTTCCGCGCACAGAGTTGCTGGTTATCCTGCAGGTAGTATGACGGGTGGTGCAGCAAGGCCGGCTGCTGTTGCTGCACCTGGAGCAGGATCTGCTGCTGCAACTGGTACTGCTGTTGGTGCTGCAACTCACGCTCTTGCTGCCGCATTTCCTGCTGACGAAACCGCTGCAGCTGCTGCTTGTAGTGCATATCCGGATGCTGCATAAGGAGCTGCTGCTGTTGTTGTTGCTGTAGCTGTTGCCGTTGTTGCAACTGTTGCTGCTGCAGTAATTGCTGTTGCTGTGGCAAATGCTGCTGAAATCCTGGCTGCTGAGGAAACTCATGCTGGAGCTGAAAAACAGAAGCACACAAAGGGTCAACTGTGCTGCCTTGCAGCCACTGCTGCTGGTGCTGCGGCTGCTGGTGATAAGGCTGCGAATGCTCGAGCTGTTTCCCGCATTGTTGCAGCTGTTGTAGCTGCAGCGCCTCAACGAGTTGTTGCTGTTGCTGATGCGGGTGTACTTGGTGTTGCTGCTGTTGGCTGGGTTGCTGCGGCAACAGTTGGTGTTCCAGCTGTTGTTGCTGTGGTTGCTGTAGTTGCTCATAATGTTGAGTGTACTGCTGCGTATTATACACTTGCTGGTACTCATACCGATGCTGCATAATCGGTTGTTGTATTGACTGCTGAAGTGGACGCTGCAGAGACTCGCCGCCCCCAATAATGGACCGTAAGTCGGCAACAGCTGGGGAGCCCTGGGCGGCATCAGCAGAAGCCGCTGCGGATGTTGCTGCTGCTACAGGCACAGGGGCAGCAGCAGCCATCGCTACGTCAACAGCATCTGCTGCTGCTCTAGATTCTTCTTCAACGTCTGCAGCAACCCCCGCATCCTGGTGTTGTTGCTGTAGCCGCTGCTGATCCTGCCGTCGTTGTTGCGAAACTTGGTGCTGCTGTTGTGGATGAAAGCCTTCCCCATCTGCCACGGCTGCACCAGATGTGCCGCTGTTGCATTCGCTGCTGAAACATAAACGGTGAGATTCTGCGGCAGCCACAGCTGCAGGTCCTGCTGCTGCTGTAGTAGCTGCCTGCTCACTTGCAGAATGAGATCCCGTTCGGCCTTGCTGTTGCCAATTCCCTTGTTTCTGTCCCTCAGTTCTACTGTTGGTGTTGCTGCCAGCCACTCTGTTGTTGCTGGGGCTGTTGCTGTTGATGCTACTGCTGCCACTGCGCGTGTTGCTGCCGCGGTGGCACCTGGGCGGCTCCTGCATCAGCATCGCCATTTCTACGGAGGTGTCACTGAGCAACAAATACACATCCTCAATGCTGAGAAATTCAACCCACTTGGCGTCAGCGTCCGCTGCTGTTGCTGCCGCTTCTGCCCCCCCCGCTACAGCAGCAGCAGCAACGGCCTCCAGGTCAGCCGGCAGAGGAAGCTGCGCAACAGCCTGCATCGACTTTCGCGCTGCAGAAGAAGGCCTGTAGGGTAGCATCTGATTACGCTGCAGCAGCAGCCGTGAGTACTGTTGCTGCTGCTGGTGCTGCTTCTTCAAGTCGTCAAGCAGCAGCAGCGTCTCCGGCGGTGGGGGGCGCATGCGCTGCAGCAGCGAGCAGTAGCTCCCGGCAGCTGCACACTTCTCTGCAGCACAAACAATTCAAATAACGCACTGGGGAGGCAGCCCTCCTCTCGCCCTTCTATTTCTGTCCGAGAGCTACTGCTGGTACTGTTGCTACTGCTGGTGATGTTGCTGTTGCTATACCTGCTGCTAGCTGCATATCCCTAAGGGCCTCTTTTAGAGGATTCGCAAGAGAAGCCAGGAGTGACACCAAAGCCGAGCCTCCTCCCGCCGCAACTGCTGGGCGCATGCAGCGCTGCAGCAGCGCGTGCAGCAGGCGCAGCAGCAACGCCGCCACCCCCCAAATGTCATCAATAAGAAAGACTAAGTAAGTGCTGCTCACAGCAAAGAGGCTTGTGCCCCTTTGCTGTAACAGCAGCAAACACAGAGTGCAGCCGCGGTGCAGCATGCTGACTAGCCTGCAGCACAACGCAGCAGCAGCTGGACCCAATGGCAGACACTTCCTGCTGCTGCTGCAGTTCCTCCGCCTACTGTTGCTGCTGCTGCTGCCTCAGCTGTAGCTTCTGCTTGGCTGCCGCTTCAACTGTTGCTACTTCATGACAGCAACAAAAATTAGACGCATGGCGCTGCCTACAAACACCGCCGCTGCTGTGCCGCAGCAGCAATCCTTCAGCTCCTTCCTCCTCCCCAAAGTTAAACTTTAGTCCCTTGAAGATGTGCCCTACAAGCTGCACATTACTCTTACTAACTCAGGGTGTCTAAGTGTCCACCTTGACAAGAGGCTCCTACTTCACAGTCTCAGCAACAAAGCAGCAGCAACAGCAGCGACAACAGCGCCAGCTGCAGCAGGAACTCACTGCACCGAAACGGAAGAATTAAGGGAGACGACGCCTTCCGCTTCGAAGGCGACCAGTGTCTCAAGCGACACCCCATTTGCTCGCAAAAATCGAGAGACTGACCAAGTCCCTGCAGCAGCGGCAGCAGAAGCAGCAGCAGCAAGCCAGCTGTAGCTGCACAGGTAACAGGATTGCTGACGCAACACATGCAGAGGGTCTTGGGTGCCAATGCCAATCCGAGACTTCGTGGAATACTGTTTCTGCCGGGGTTACAGTTTGTGCTGTTGCTGCTGCAGTCACTGCTACACCAGCTGCTGCACCTGCAGCAGCATATTCTGCTGCTTTTCCTGCTCACCCGTGCAGCAGTCTACCAGCTGCAGATGGAGCCGCAGTTTCTCAGCGAAGAAATCCGCGCACGCACAAACCGCGCCCTCAGGGGTAGATGCTGCTGCTGCTGTTGCCGTCGTAGCTGCGCTCGCGTCCCCGTCTGCCGCAGCTGCTGCTGCTGCTGCAGCTGCAGGTTGCAAGGCCGTGGCTGACCAAATGCGCAGTATTTGCCCAGGAAGCTTTTGTAGGGAGGACCCAAGAAAGGCGTCAACGGGAATCTGCTCACAAAAGAAACCCTAGTTGCTATACTTGAAACCCTAGCCCTGCTTGCAACGAAAAACAAATACTTGAAACAGAAAAACCCACCCATTTTTTCGACTCTAAATCCTCACCTGCGCCAAAAGCCTGTGTGCCACAATGAGGGCCTTCATAGCGGATATCGGGTCGTGCAGGACGCTGCGGCGCTGAAGACAGCAGACGTGATGCATCAGCAAGAGCAGCAGCAGCGCCAGCAGCGTCAGCAATTTAAAGGATTTGCAACAGGTGCAACTCTTTCCAGCCTTTGTCGCTGCCCTGAAATGCTACAAACAGGGAGGACCCGCTGCAGTGGCCGCAGAATTTCGTCTGCTGCCACTGCACGAGGCGCTGCGGCAGCAGACAGTAGCAAGGAAGAAACTACCAGAAACAGCAGCATCACCAACAGCAGAAGCAGCTAGTCTCTCACCAACAACTCCCGAGCAAACGTCTCCGCTGTCTGGCTGTAAAGTTCTCTGCTGCTACTGCTTTGCCTGCCGCTGTTATTGCTCTCGCCTGCATCCCAGCTGCTATCGGTGCAGCTGTTGCTACTTCTGTTGCTTCTGGGACGCGCAAGTGCATGGAACAGCCGAGGCAGCAGTGCCAACTCTGAAAGACGGGGCCCAGCTAGCTGCTTAGACAGACATCCCCGCAACAGCTGCGTCGCTGCATCGGGAAGCCTCGTGCCATTCACGTCCTCTGATTTTGCTGCTGCTACTGCAGTGGCTGTTGCGGGGTCAAGGTCCTCCGCAGTGCCAACTGCCTCAGCAGCAGCCGGTGGTGCGGCAGCAGCACCCGCAGCCGTTACAGTTGTTGCTTTTGCCGCAGTGAGACCGCAAGGCACTTCACTGGAGCTGCGGCGACTGCCCCCGCGACCTCCTGACAAATGAAAGCGGGGACCTGGTGCTCTAGCATTCTCACAAAAAGAACGGTAGCGCAACAGCTGCTGCTGAAGATGGCGCTGCTTATGCTGCTGCTCCTGCTCGTGCTGCTGAGACTGCAGCCTATGCATCTGCTGCTGCTGCTCCTGCAGCAGCCCTTGCCGCTCTATATAGTGGCGCCTAGCCAACTGGTCATGGTCCATCAGGTTCAGTCCGTGTTGCCGAAGCTGCTGAAGCTGCTGCAGCTGTTGACGATGCAACAGCTGCTGCTGTTGATGCTGTTGCAGAAGCAGCTGCTGCTGCTCCCATTGCTGATTTAGCAGGCTTCCCTGATGCTGCCGGTGCACGGCACGCTGTGGCTCCTGTTGACGCGTTTGTGTTTGTCGACAGGCAGCGTTACACGGGTGCTGAATAAGCTCTGCGTGCTGCTGCTGCTGCTCCACCTGTGGTTGCTGCATCTGTTGGTGCTGTAGTTGTTTCTGCTGCTGTTCCAGCAGCTGCTGCTCCAGCAGCTGCTGTTGTTCCAGCAGCTGTTGCTGCTGCTCCAGCAGCCGCTGCTGCTGCTCCAGCAGCTGTTGCTGCTGTTGCTGCCCTGGTTGCTGCATCACATCTTGATCCCACAGAGCTCTCAGTACCTTCTGCAGCGAGCCGTCCCCACCGCCCCTGTCTGGAGACTAAGTGTAGCTGCTGCTCCTGCAGCTGCTGCTACTGCTTCGGCGTTCCTGCCGTCGCTGTTGTTGTCGCAGCAGAAGCTGTTGAATTTCTACCCCCTCCTATTCATGCTTCTGCGCGTACCGTTGTGGCGGCAGCTGATACTGCTTATACTGTACGACGTCCGCACCTGGCGAGGTGACTTCAACGCCCACTGCCGTAGCTACAGCAGCAGCAACTGTTTAAAATCCGTTGAGCAGTTGGGTTTCAGAAAAGGCAAAACTTAAAAGGAAGGCAAGGAAGCAAACAAGACACTATAGGGATTGCTCTCTTGCTCGTGATCCACGCAGCTTGTGAAGCTACTGCTGTTGCTGCTGCTCAGTTAGCTGTAGCGGTGGTGGAGGACAGCAGCAGCAGCAGCAGCAAGTCGCTGCCAGTGCTATCATCACAAACGTCACCGATTATGTTAGAAATATAAGATAGGCTAGCTGTCCTTGGATGCTGCAGGGCCAGGCGCACAGCAGCAACAGCAACAGCTTTGGAAGCCCGTTGCGGCTGTTGCTGCTGCCCGTGGGGCCCCGGGCCCCCAACCCTCCCCACCACCCGAAGCAACCCTCGATTCAGCGGCGTATTCAGCAGCAGAAGCAAGCGGTAGCCGATACGTCTTTGCTTGTTATTCATATTGGGTTTAGCATCACAGTACCCTCTTTGAAGTACGTGTTACTGTTTGCTGCAACAACTCTGCCAGCGGCGCTGCTGCTCCTGTTGCTGCCGCCGGCGCTGCCGACATAGGCAGCGCACACAGAACATCCCAGCCCCAAAACAGCGAAGGTCAGCTGCAGCACATTGAGCTGCTTGAAGCACTACCGCTGCAGAGCTGTGGCTTTCGCCTAGCCAGCCCGCCGCCGAAAAGCGTATCTGCAGTGGCAGCCGCAGCACCTGCAGCAGCCGCGGCAGCACCGACTTTAACTGAAGTAACCAGAGCAACAGTCCAAGCAGGAGCAGCTGCTACGGGACCGCCCAAAATGGATGAAAACAGAAATCCGCAAGGGCCTGCAGGTGGTGCCCCCGTGGCACCGGTTGATGACGGGGACCTCCCATGGGTACCTCAAGCACTAACCCCGAAAGCCTTTGCCAAAAACCTTTACTTAAACTCTCCAGCTTGCACACTCCAGAGACGCGTGTTTAGTTATCGAGAACGACAGGGCATGCGACACTCAAGAGGCCTGCGGCTTAATGCTTACATTTTTTGGCTTATTGTAGGGCTTACGATTTATATTTTGTGGTGTACAGGTGGAGCGTTATCGGCCGAAGACTCTAAGTGATATTCTGTCGCATGATGACATCATTCAGACCAGCAAGTCGTCCCAAACCCTAGACCTCAGGGGCTGTGCATCCCAAAGCCCGAAGCCCTTTTGTACTGCCCTACCTGCACACCCTTTTGCAAAGAAGCCGCCAGTTGAAGTTCAGAGTTTAAGATTTCGGGCTTAGGGTTTCTGTTTTGGGTGCGCAGTTCAACGGTATGTCGACAAGGGCCAGCTGCCCCATCTCCTCTTCCATGGCCCCCCCGGTGAGCTAACCTCGTGTTTAGGGTTCAGGGTTTAGAACTAACGTCCTAAAGCTCTGGGTTTAGATGAATTTTATCATGTCCAAAATCTGTTGAACCCTTTGGCTAATCCGTCAACAAGATTCCCGAGGCTGATGGGTTGGGTTTGGAATTTTAAGGGTAGGGTTGAGGGCTGCGAGAGTACGGTTAAGTCTCTAAAACCTAGCGTTTTAGGGTTTGGAACTTATATTATAGGATTTGCACTCAGGAACTGGCAAGACATCAACAATTCTAGCCGTGGCCAGGCAACTCTACGGCTCGCAACAGGCCTCGCATGTGCTGGAGGTAAACCTTCAGCCCAAGACCGACCTTCGTGGGGGGTAGAGGGAGGGGATCACGGAGCAACCGGTTATGTCCTAGCTGTTGATGTTGTCGCTAGTTCCCGTTGCCGCTGTTGCTGCCGGCTGTGCTGCTTCTGTTGCAGCTAAATGCCTCAGATGACAGAGGGATTGGTTCGGTGCGAGAGTTGGTGAAGACATTTGCGGAGACAACTTCTGCATCTTTTTCGCTGTGCGCATCCAAACACGTTAAAGCGCTCATGCAGCAATGCACGGCAAAAGGAGCCCCCTGTGGGAATCGAACCCACGACCTTTTGATTACGAATCAAACGCACTACCAACTGTGCTAAGGAGGCGGTTGCGTGATGGAGCCATTAACCGTATATGCATGAACACTGCAGGGAATGAAGGCGTTGCATGGGTTGTCGGGGCTTCGGGTTTGGGGCAACCCTAGGGTTTTGGGTTTAGGATCTAGAGAGCCTAGTGTTCAGGGTCTAGGGTCTAGTCATTGGGATGTACACAGGTCGGGCGCTGCTCCCTCTGGTCCCCCCAAACTGAAGCTGATTATACTGGACGAAGCCGATCAGATGACTTCCGCAGCTCAGAATGCGCTTAGAAGAAGTCCGTTGCTGCTACAGCTTCTGCTGCTGCTTCTACTAGCTCTGCCTGTTTGCTGCTCTGCCACCCCCGATGCTTTTTCGACGAAATTAGTACAGGTTTATTCAGCTGCTTAAACTAGCATGGCTCGAAGCATCTCGGGAGTGCTGTCCACTGCTGATGCTCAATGGTTTGGTGTTGAGGGTTTGCGTGCCGCAGTCATGGAGACCTACGCGCGGAATGTGCGGTTTTGTTTGATATGCAATTTTGTCAACAAAATAACTCCCGCAATTCAGTCGAGATGCACGAGGTAAACTGGTGCTGTAGCTTTCGCTACCGCTGCTGCTTTACCCTGCTTCTGTCTTTTGCTCCTGATAGCCATCAGAGCTTGCACTCTTTTGTTGCGTTCTCTCTCTGCAGCATGCGCTTTACTCCCCTCAAACCCGAGGCGGTGAGACTAGGGTTTAGGGTTGCATAAGACCTGGGGAAGAAGCTGGGAGCTTGCACTTGTCCTCGGCAGTGTTTTCTCTGCGGTTGTTAGTGTTAGGTTAGAGGGTTTAAGAATTGGGGTTTAGGGTTTTGGGTTTAGGTGTAAGATTTTGGGCTTTGCTTCAGCTGAGGAGGAAAGCGGAAGAAGCTGCGAAATTAGAGAAGTGCGTCTGCCAAATGTAAAGCAAGTATTAAGTTCTTTTCTTTCCAGCACCTAGGTTTTCTGCCCCAGGAGTTGGGGTTTAGGATCTATGGTTTTGGGCTTAGGGTTTGTGAACTCGCAGCATGTCCGTCACAGAAGACGGTTTTGAGGCTCTCTTGCGAATCGGTAAGTTTAACTTCCGATACGACAGTGAGAAGTAGATAGGTACACGCCTAGGACTTGTATTGATGATTCTTGGGGAGTCGAGTTTAGAATTGGGCTTCCATCCCATGTTTTGAAGGCCCTTATTTTACCATTAGGCTGAAAACATAATTTTTATGGAGGGGGCTTAGTGCTTGGAACATAAAACTATGTCGTTTCCTCTGCAGCCAGTGGAGACATGCGTCGGCTTCTCAATTGCATGCAGGTCAGTTTACGATGCGTTTCTGGCCCTGAATAAAACGACTCAACAGGGAAATCAGGTTTTCGGGTTGACTGTTTAGGGCTAAGGGTTTGGGGTTTGCTCAGGCGGCCAGCATGGCTCACCCTGGAGAACCCGTCGACGGCGAGTTGGTGCACCGCGTGCTCGGGTTGCCTCAGCCCAGTGAAGTCAAGTCCATTATGCAGACCCTCTTAGAGAAGGACTTGGTTACATGCTCTTCAGGTAAACCCTATTTATAAAGCCCCCATCGAGTTGTGTCGCCGAGTCCTATCTCTTCAACGCTGTTCAAACAGGCCTTTGACGGCAGCAGCGTAACTGGGTTTGGCTTTCGCATCCGAGCGTTAACTGCTGCGTAGGTTTTAGCGTTACATCACTGTGCACTTACACCTGCCAAGCGGTACAACATCGAAATATACATTTAGTGTGAACTCTAGTGGAATAGGCTGCCTGAGGGTCAACCATTGTGTGTATGCAGAGTTTCATGGGTTGCTGACGAAGAGAGGTTATTCCGTGCGGGATTGGGTTGGAGGTGGGCGCATGGAGGCTTGAGGGTTCTGCGTTCTCGAATAATCCCTAGAAGTTCCCACACTCACCGAAACTAAGACCTAGACATGAGCCTGGACCTTAGAACGGCTAGAATTAGGGAAGGGGGACTTAGCTGTATACAGCGGTGCGTTGGTGCCACCGCTTCGGGTTGGTAAGACCCTCTTCCTGCCGCTACATGTTTGTTAGCGGACATGGGGAGACTAAGGGATGAGAGGCTTAGGGTGTATGGTTTGGGTTTCCGTCGCAGCTCTGCACAGCCATATGCAGACCATGAAACTGCCTGTTCCTGTGGCCTTGACCCTCGTGACCCGCCTCGCCGACATTGAGTGAGCTGCCGGGGTATAGGCTTGTTCTCCTAGTTGCAGCGAGCCCGTGGGGGGTTAGGATTCACCGGGAGAGCACGAGCTCAATTCCATCTTTAAGCGAATCTGCCTATGGGATTTGCGTGACGACTTAGGCATGCACTTCGGATAGACTGTAGCTGCTGCACTACCGAAACCCTAATTGCCATCTCAAACCCTAAAACCTCATATGTGTTCAAGGTTCTTCGTCATTGCGCAGGGAGAGACTCGCCTTAGGCTCTGGTGACTTCGTGCAGGTACGCCCATGCTAGACCCTCCCTAAACCCTACGTACCCCGCCTAGCTGAATTCTAAGCCGTAGCTATACTGTAGCTTAGGCGAATCCTAAGCAAAACTAAACGCCTAGCAAAATCCGAGGCACTGGCAGGACCTAAACCTTTAGCGGAAAGTGAGTCGATAATTCCAAATTAAACAATAAAAATTCTGTTCTCTACAGCTGCACGCCATCATCGCGGCTTTCTTCGAGGCCCGTCACGCACTGCATGCCTCTCAAGTCCCTCCCGTTGCTGCAGCTAGCAGCTAGCTAGCTAGCGCTAGCTAGCTAGCTAGCTAGCGGCAGGGAGCTTTGGTCGAGCGGAGGGTGAGGAGGCCTTTGCAGTAGAGCTGGCCTCCAAGTCAGCAGCTATGAAACCCTTTAGGGGTGATGGTTTTCTAGCCAACTCTCCACCCCTTATCTCTCCCTACCGAAGGGTCAGTCTAAGGCTGGGATTTAAGAGTTTGGGATCTACAACGTTGTCTTTAATACTTTGATAATTAGGGAGTGCGACACTGAGTTGCTTGAAGCGGAACTTCGGGTTTAGCAGCACCCAAACCACTTTTTGTTGGCCTTTCGGCGGAGGTGTTTGGGCTGCTCAGCTTCGCGGTTCTCAGGGGGAGGCACAGGAGTAACGCATGCAGCAGGGTTGAGCATTCCATAGGGGTCATAGTAGGCGGGGCCCGGGAGGCTGAAGGTCTCCGTGCTAGCGAAGGGGACGTGCGCCCCCAGACCCTGAACAACCAAGAGATGCAGACCCCACACAAAAAGGCTTGCCATACAACCACATGTTGCTGCCTTACACCTAAAGCGGAGCACAGCAACAACAGTACGTGCTGCGCCTGTCGCCGCACCTTTCCCGAGACAGCACACCTCAGTTGCCGCAGGGCGCTAGCGAGGTCCCCGCTCCCCCCTCTTAGACTGAAGTCAGTTCTTAAAGGAATTCTAAAGATTCGGAGGCGCTTGCATCAGCCTGGTGCTATACTGTAGTGGGGTGCAGGCAAACTCCAGATTGTGCCTAGGAAACATGTGTACAGCCGACTCACGGGGTAGTACGGGCCTCCCGGAGGAGGAGCAGGAATGTTGAGGGCATAGGGAGACCCATAAGGCCCATACATCGCAGCCTGGTTGGCGAAGGCCGCGACCTGAGCCTGCGTTGGGTCCACGGGGGCCCCCCCATCCAGCATGCCCGGGTAGCCGTGAGATATACCCTGCGACAACAGCTGGTGCTGCAGCACAAAGGGATAAGACTGCTGCTGCGCCTGGGGCCCTTCTCCTGCTCCCGAAGAAGGCGGATAGCCTTCACGCCCAGCCGCAGAGGCTCCAGTTGTCGGAGACCCTTCCACCGACCCTTGGTTTGCTGCTGCTGCTGCAGCTGCTGCCGCTGCCGACATCTTAGACAATGCGATTTTCACACCACTTATGTAAGGGTTTCAAACGATAGAAGAATTTGTAATCAACGCCAGCCAAACAAATACAAAAAATAACGGATAATCACTTCTGCTACGACGTCTGGGCGGAGGCCGCCAGCACCGGACCACTGCGGCCGCCCACAGCTGCTGTTGCTCCTGCTGCTGTTGCTGCTGCTACGGTATTCTGCTCTGATTGTGCTTTAGTTTCAGTAGGCGAAAGAAACAGACTGATATCATAAGAGGTTGAGAGATATTAGTGGAGTACACAGCCTCAGTCGTTCGGCTAATCTGACCAACGGTGCCGCCTGCCCGACCTGGCCACGCGCTGGTACCTCCCCCAAACCCTAAACCCCCAGCCCTGTGTCATCATATCGGCTAGAAATCTATTACATATTTAAAATCCCTTTTACTTTAGGAGCTACCTTGAATGTTTCAGCCAGAAACAAAAGGTGAGCAACAGGGTCGCCAGCGAGCTGCTGATGCAGTGCTCCAGGCTTAATGCACCCACCGCCCATCCCGCTCTCTCTCAGCTAATAGGGACCATATTATAATAGTAACGAGTCAAGCATATGCCTCGCTGCGGGAAGGAAAGGGGGTCGTTAATCAGGCACGATAGAAAGAAGTTCTGCTGGCCCAGCTTGCTGAGTTCCAGCTGCTGCAAAGGCTTTCAGGTCAGCGCGCCGGTTCTGTTGCTTCGTCGTTGGGCGCAGCCTCGTGCCTGCACAGCTGCTTCTTACCAATTTTAGTGAATGAGGGGTACGATACTCGGTCCCCGTGGCCGGCCTTCGTAGGTGTAAAATTAATACTGCCGCGAAGTTGAAGGCGAAGAAGAGACGGCTGAGGAAGGAATGCTTGAGGTGTAAGGAGAGCTGTCCCCACTCCCCCGCCCCATTGTAGAGCAGACTTACAATGTCGCTTTGTGCCTGCTAACAGCAGTGCATTCTTTGCAGCCCATGGGTAGTATTTGTTGGCTGCCCACCTAAAGTGCAGCTTCTCTAAGAAAGACGTTGTTCTCCTTAATGCACTGGCTCTGTGCAACGGGCTTTTAAGCATCTTGATTAAAAGGGTGTATTCTTTGAGGCATCTTCTAGCCCCCTCCTACAGCTTGGCCTTCTGCCCACAGCTCAGCCAGCACAGGACCCCCATGTGGAGCGTCGAAGCCCCAACATCCTAGCAGCATAAACGCATCTGTTGTCCTCCTACAGTGGAAGTGTGGTGGGTTTAGTACAGGAGGCAGAGACGAATGAATCAAGGGAAAAGGGTTACACTGGCAGACGCGCAGGATACGAGACGCAGAAGAGCACAGCGGCATTAGCTGTACACCAGTGCAAAAGTATAACCAGCAGCACCGACGGCATAAAATAACGAGATAGGACAACGGCAGTGATTCTAACCTCCCTCTCCGGGCAGATCTAAGGCAGTGCCAAGCCCTGTAGGGCTCTCCTGTTTCATACGCAGCTCCAGAGGCGTCCGCTTCTGCTCAGTTGCCCAACTTCCCTGAGACATGGAAATTCTTTCTGCCAATTTCTCCGCAGTATCCTGCATGCGAAGCCCCAAGAAACAAAACAAATAAGGTAGACTCTCTGACTGCCACTGAGAACGCGGCAAGCAGCAGACATGAACAAGCAACGCTACAGGCGACGCCGCTAAGAGCTATGGAATCCTAGTTCCCAGCTAGGACAAGAGTTGAGATTCTATGCTTTGGAAGTGGATATTCATGCTCTAGGGCTCAAGGTACGTTTAGAAGGTCGGCGAATTTAAACGTCATTTTTTCGAGTTCCTTTTCTAGATGGTGTAGCGCCTCTTTGGCGTTCTGTAGTTCTTTTTCTTTCGAACAGCGTGTTGCTGCTACATCTTTTTCAGCCGTAGCTGTGCGTACACCTCAGATTCGACATCCCAAACCCGGAAAGTTAGTGCTGACAAGTGCTGGCCTATGTCCGCAGCTAGCCATACAGCACACTGTGGCGCGCACCAGGTGCAGCTGGCACCAGCTAACGGGCAGTGTATTGTGCTTGTTTTAGGATTTCCTCGTCATGTGCGTTTGACCGCCCTACCGACATCCCTTTCCGCTGCCTGCAGCTGCTTCTGGAGGTTTTGGATAAGCTGCTGATAGTGTGTCTTTGCTTCGGCGTTCCTGAGGCTGAGGGCGCCGATGGTTGAGAAGAGAAGTCTGTCTTGCTCGTTGAAACCTTCACCTAAAGCTTCGATTTGTAGCTTCAGCTCAGCGGAGGCCCGTTCGCTCTTTTCTCGTCGTTCCTCTTCCAACTCTGCAAGCGAACAGTGCAAAGGCAGAAGGCAGCGCCTCCTTAGTTGGAGGTTGACGTACACCTCGGGTTTGGCTGTGGGCATCTTTTTCCGTGCATGAGCGCAGAGTGGCGGGCAGCCCCTGGATTAATTCCAGTAGCACTTAAAGCCATAAACTTTGAATGGGAAGCCGTTAAGCTTAAAATTTCCTCCCTCTTGTTCTTCGGCTCCAGATCTGCTCGCCTTTTCAAAGGCCATCTCTGGACTTTCTCATGCTTGGAATCAGAGTGCCTCAACAAGCTTGTAACAATAGAATCTGACCCAATAATCTTTACTACTTTCAGTGTAAATAACAGCAGCTCGTTCTTAAGCACTCGAAATCTAATGCGACTGTCCAATTAAGCGCAGTGCCTACTTTTTGTTTTTGCATTCTAAGCCCTAGAAATTCTCTCGCTTTCTCAGAAACTCATGATGCATATCGACTAGTAGCACGCAGGCGGCAGAGAAGGTATATTTGCAACTGGTATCACATATTCAAGAGGGTGTCCATAGCCTGGCAGGCCAACGCCTTCCTGTAGTGTTTGAAGAGAAGCAGCTATTCATTTTTATATTAAAGCCTTCGCAGGCTCAGCGAGCAAGAAGCGGCGACAGGGGAGAAGACAGAAAGAAACAGAAGACCAAGAGGCAGAGAGAGGGATGTCCAATGAGCAGCATACAGAGAGGTAGAGAGAGAAATGTCCAATGAGCAGCATACAGAGAGGTACCTCCTAAGCAAGATACACGCAGAACAAGAAACCAACGTGCTTGCAGTATAATTAACAGCAAAGCGTCTAATGGCTCCAATACACGCAGGAATAATGATACAGGGGAATCGCTTTGAAAACTACTCAAACTAGGCTCTAGAGGAGGATCACGCCTTGAGGAACTGACCGAGGAAGTGCCACTAGCTTTGCTAAAACACGTTCCGTCGCCGGGACTTGAACCCGGGTCGCGCGGGTGAGAGCCGCGTATCCTAACCACCTAGACTACGACGGATAACAGCAAACTTACATCATGGGCCTAAACTTGACATCACACGAACTAACCTAGTGAATCGGTCTCGTTAGCACCGTTCCAAAACCCTCAACGGAGTGGAGATGGGGAAAGGACAAAACTGAATGTTCTTCACGTCACCATGCAAAGTCATTGTGGCCGAACAACGTTTATTTCGTCATTTGAAGCGTTAGGTGGAAGGACCGGGAACCCTTGGCATTAAAGAATCTGCAAACCCTGGCCTGGATGTACTCCCTGATATAGAAGGCGAACTTACCTATGAGTTTGTCCAGGGTTTGTATGCGCCTCCTGAGCACTTCATTTTCTAGTTCATAATTATGGTCATCGTCGTTCCCGCTTTTAGCAGCCATTTTAATTAGTTTAAGTTAGCATACACCGTGAATTCGATGCTGGGCGCGGAGAGTGTCATGCATGTCTGGCCTTCTAGGCACGACACCGTGAAAGGCGTACGCTTGGGGTGGAACTTCTCAAAAGAATACCTAATAACTGTCATATAAAAATTATCTGCAATCTCATTTCTATACTTCTCCAGCAGTTTTAGCTTGGGACCGCAGCCTGCGTGTTCACGGCTTTTGGGCGACGCGAAACGGGTTTCACGGGTTTCGTAGAAGGTTCGTGCAAGTAGGTAATTCGGCACGCCCGTTTAATTCGGATCTAAAGATTTCTGCCGAACCATAATGTGGTGCCCCTGATACCAATAAGCCACGCCACCCTGAATCCGCGTCATCTCTCCTAGCATAGTCACTATTCGACTAGCTGGATATAACCAAAACGCGGCACTTCGGCCGGCGCTCCACCCCTTTTTTCCTTTAGTTCGCTTTGTGGAGACTCTCTGTGGAAGGGTCTGGGAGTGGTCAGCAGTGCAGGATCTCGAACGAACCAATGCTGCAAACCAAACTCCAGAAGGCGGGTCACCGTCCTGGCGAACGTGATTCCTTGAGTCTTTTGTGCATGCAAACTACCCTATTCAGGCGCACATACCTACATGTTCGTGCACACTGCAACGCTTTTCCTGCACCAAAAGCGAGCACGCTGCGTTCTGCCAGCTGACTGCAGCTGCATCTGCCCACGTTTTCGGGTAGCAACGCTTAGCTGAGTGCTGCCACGCTGCTCAGCTTCTTTTGCTCTACACGTTCTCTCGCAGATCACTAGACGAGAGCTGCGGGCCTCAGACACTCTATGACCAACCCCGTCGCCAGGCCGCCAACAAGAGACCACTAAAGTGCGCATTTTTGAATTCGGGAGAGACAAATCCTGAGTGGCACCACAGAAGCTGGCGCCTCTCTTTGTTTCCTAGCGCCCCGCGTTTGATGTAGGTGCAGATGCCATCTCTGCTCAAGCATAGTCTGGCTCGATTGCGCACACTACGACGAAGAGAGTGAACTAACACGGGACGCTCTGCCGCCAAGTAGAGCAGTTGGCCGTGCGTTAGGGGATTGCTTAAAAATTGCTGCAAAGGTTCCCCTGCATTGCATGTGTTTGTATTCCTCAGTACGCACAGGCCTTTTCTCTAGAGAGCCATCAACGCAGAGCCAATACGCCCGCTAGGAAGCGTCTCTCCCATTTCGCGTTTTTTGCTAGTCAGTAGAACACTGTTGCTGCAAATAATGCCGTAAAACCTAAAACCTAACTGATCTAGATGCGAGCAAATGCTCATTCAAAGGGACGCTTGAGCGAAACGCTTCAATGAAACAAGAGGCTAACGCACACCCTGTCTCTACCGCAATGTTGCAACTGAAAACAGATTCCGAGGCACGCGGAAAGCTCTAGTGTCCCGACACCCCAGTCCAGCCTGAGGAGCCGAGTTCGCTGTGGTGTTGCTGCAGCGTGGAGGCCAATGAGATGCAGCGTTGCATGCATCGTTGCAGGACCTAAGGCGTGGCTAAGTAGTTGTATTAGACTGAACAACAACGATGAGCACACCACTGCTGCCAGTGCAGACTGTGGCAGAGTGTTTGCCGCCAAGCAGTTACCTCCTTGAGAGGCAGCAGGAACCCACCCCAACAACAGCTATTTTTGTGTAGCAATGCTGGGTTCCGTAGCGGGAGCACCACAGAACTCTAGTTTTCAGCTTTTGCTGCCATTGCTGGTGCTGCGGCGGCGATATTGGCAGCTGCCATCGCGCAGTGTCCAATGCAGCACGCGCAGCAACATCCATCATCTGCAGACCCTTCCGCGAAAGGAATTAAGGAGGCAAATACAATCAGAGCTCCGCTCTGGTTAAAGGCTCCATGCACTTTTGGTGAGCTTCCGTGTCGCAGCAGGAGGCATCGGAAGAAAAGTCCGTCTGCAACAACCAGCAGCACACCGCAGAAGCAACCGCGAGGCAGCTACAGCCGGCAAGCAGACCTCCTGCACCGAGATGTGGAGGCAGTCCTCAGCGGCACAAACCAATAGCAAGTGACGCCAACAGCAGCACCACACTATAGTAAAAAGGCCAAGGAAGGCCGTGCAAGGCAGCGAAAACCCAAGTCCAGACCAGCCAATCCCCCGTGGTTGAGGGTTTGCCTCCATGTTGTGTACACCTCGTAAAGAAGTAAGGAGGCAGTAACGCGCTATGGAGTGGCGCGCTACGCAACAACCCTCTAAACTTTACTGCTGCACAGACCAATCTGTCCACCCCAGCATCCGCTGCTGCCAGTAGAACACCCACCAGCCGCACGAACACCTAGCAAGTAGCAACAGCAGCAGCAGCAAAGCGATGCTGGCAGGTTACTTGGATAGTCGTATGTAGAATGCCGTGTTTGCGCTGGCACAGAAGAGTAGCTGCGCGCAAAACGCGTCGTGCAGCTTCCTCATCACCTGAACACATCACACCCAAGACCAACCCCCTGATGGAGCTGCTTGTGCCGCAGCTGCGGGAAGCGGTTTAGTGCCGCTGCTGTCGACGAAGCGGAAGAGTCCAGCATCGGACCAAACTTTGCATGACTGCGGGGGCTGCATCCACTGCCGCAGTCGCAGCTTCCAGCAAACTGCAGTAGCCGGTTCGTCCCGCCGCCAGCGCCAGTGAGGGCGGCAGCTACCGCAGCAGCCCGTGCGCAGGTAGCTTACAGACGACAAGGTGGCAAGCAAGTGCCGGCCGGCCTATAGATATAGACCAAACATGGAGATCGTGAACCTCCAACACTCCTCGAAGAGACACCAAGTCAGACTGCAGCACCGCAACGTCTAAGCCAAGGGGTGTTCCCTCCATGAGCACGTTCACCGCCTGCGATGCAGCAACCGCAGCAGCAGCAGCAACGCAACAGCACCACTCCTCTGCATCCGCCCCTCTCAACGGCTCCGCAGGTTGACCGGAAAACCAATAAGAAGCCAAAGGCCCAAACTACCAGTCTTCAGCACTCTTGGACACCCCGAACGGACCAACGAAAACGCATGCAGCCCACTGCTGCAGGGCCTCATCGACACCCACAGTAGATCGTATAAAGAGGCCATCACCGCCAAAGCAGATGCAGCGGCAGCAACAACCGTGTCGGCAGCAGCAACAGCAGCTGCAGCAGCAGCAGTGACAAGAGCATCAGCGGAGGCAGAAGCAAAAGCCGCTGACCTCTCGGATGATGGAAATCGTCGTTAAGAGAACAAACATGGAAAAGACCAAAGTGCAGGCGGGATCTGCAATCGAATACTCGGGGTTGTACCTGCAAGGACAAACCCTAAACTCCCTCAGTCCACTAGCGGTGGTTCGGTTCTGGGGAAAGCTCGAGCTGGGTCTTGCCAGTGAGGCAAAACATCGCTGTGTGCATCTAGAGGAAACGGCGCAGGGTCTCAGGGACACTTGGCAGCTGCGGCTAGGGCGTACAGCCTATGGTTTAGGCTTTGGGATTTGGGCGCACCAGATGATAGCCGACGCAATCATAACCCCGATGTTTTGCAGAAGGTCTCCAACCGCGTGTATATAGGCAGCCCTGAGATTCATGCTCTCTATTTCTGCCTCCGGGTCGTCCTCTTCCATTCGAACATAGACGTCCCCTTCCGCTGCTGCTGCTACTTGCTGCCGCTGCTGCTCGAGGTCACTTCCCCTTCGCTGCAGCTGTAGCGCATGCCCCTCGTCCTTGTGGTGCCCGTTCTCGTGGACGTTCCCAGAGCTGCTGCCGCTACTGCTGCTGCTGCTACTGCTGCCACTGCAGCACCCGTGCGTGCGGAGAGGGAGCAAAGCCCTCGTCCCACTGTTGCCGCCGCTGCAGCACCTGCTGCTGCTGGCGTGGCTGTCTCCTTCTGCAGAGGACTCCGAATGGGTTGTGTGTATTCTCCCGATCCCGTGAGAATGTATGTGCAGAATATGCGCCATGAACAAGTTGGCAGCTGTGCCGATGGAGGCCGTCAGTAACATGAGGCCTCCCTGCACCTTCTGAGGCGAAGCGATGCGGTGCAGCGCCGCCACCACGAGAGCTGCAGTGACACCCCAAATCAGCAGCACGGACAGCAGCGCGCCCAAAATCTCGGCTCGATGATACCCGAAAGACATCGACATGGTTCCTTTCAGCTGCGACACCCACAAGGCAAACAAGCTGGGCACAGCCCAACGCCACCCCACACCCCGCAACACAAAACCGATGCCGTAAGCAAGCAGCAAGGTGCGCCTCTTACATCTCTCGCGCACATACACACAGGAACGCCATGGGGGAAGAGGCGACAATGCAAACGGAAAGCAAGAAGAGAAACAGGAGACGGGAAAAAGGGCTCCTTAGCCAGCAAGACACAACTGGATGCGCATGAAAAGAACGCGAGAAAAAAAGTGGTACAAGCCAACGAGTACATAAGAAGGCAAAACACACACAAGAGAAGTAGGAGGCAAGCAAGAACGAATAGACAGAAATACCTGTAAAACACCGACACCCCAGGTAGCAGCACAGCAGAGAAACATAGACCGACAGGGCACAGACAGACCTCAGAAACAGATGCGGAGACAGTTTGAGGCACGGAGACCGACAAAGGGAGAGAGACGGATACAAACACGGAAAATGAGAGGAGAGAGGAGGGGACGCAGAGATGGGAGCAGCTGCCTTCCACAAAAAGCTGTGAAAAAGGCGCAGGGAGCAGAGACATGACCGGCACGGCCGCAGAAAGGAGACATAGAAGAAGAACGCATACAACGTGCCGCAGCGCCACACACAGAGACAGTCGGTGCTGCTACATGCGCGCAATCCCCTGCCTCCTTGTCTCCCCACTCCACCTGATGAGGAAGGCACAGAGGTCCGAGAGGAGATGAGAAGCGTCAGTCATAAGGGCGAGGGAGTTCGACGCGATGCCCGCGACAACTTCAATTGCCATGAACACCAAACATACCGCTGAAGCCACCAGCAGCTTCCGTCGGGCTCGCGCAGCTGCTGTGTCCACAGCCAACTGTCTCCGCAGCACGCGGGAGTCATCCGAAGAGGAATGGCTATGCTGCATCGGTATCTGCACAGCATCGCCCTCACGCGCTTCTTCGGCACCCTGCTGCTGCTGCGCCCCTTGCTGCTGCTGCTGCTGCTGCTGCTGCTGCTGCTGCTGCTGCGACGAAGAACGGCACGGGCCTCCGCCAAACCCAGGAGAAGCCTGAGACTGGGATAACGGCATCCGTTGCTGCTCCTGCTGGGGCTCAGGGGCAGCCGAACAAGCGCTACCACATCCCCGCCCACAACTGTGAGTCCCCGCAACCATCAGTTCCTCTTCCAATGGCTGCTGCCCCTGCTGCTGCTGTTGCGCCCGCTCTTGCTGCTGTTCACAGCACCGGCTGCTGCTGTTGCAATGGATGTCGTCTAAGCAACTTTCGTGAGGCTGTTCGCTGCAGCAGACCTTGTTGTTGCTTCTGCTCGTCTCCTTCCCGTTGCAGCAAATTCGACTGCTGCTGCTGCTGGCGCCATTCCATTCACTGGGAGCTTCGGGTTCCGGCGGAGGTGAGTGAGCCTCGGTGCAGCATAGGTCCCCTGCCTTCCTCTCTGTTGCTTTTTGCAGCAGTGGCTGCATCTGTTGTTGGTTGCTGTCTGCAGCGCCGCCACGCTGGCCCTTCCCTCGCCTTGCCATGGCTCAGCACCTACTTCAGCTGTCTTTGCGGATACCAGCGGAGGCGGTAGAAGTAGCAGCAAACGCTGCCTAGTCCAGCAATTGGCTGGAATGAGGGAAGAGCCCCACGCCAGCAAACTGCTGGTACTGCTGCTTCAGTGGCTAGTGGTGAAGCTGCGGCTGGAGAGCCGCTGTCGGTGCTGGGCCAATTGCCGCGGCGCAGTCGATCCGCTATACACTCTTTGCTTGGCCTTGAGATGGACGTGCACTGCAGACGAAGAAGAAGGCTTTAATTATATAAAGCGAAGCTGCCCGCACACCCGAGCAGGCCTCGGGGTCCCTTGCCTTCTGCTGTGGGGGGCACTGCGTCCTTTGCGCTGCGAAGTGAATCCCGGAAAAGAACAGTAATTAAAATGAAGTAAAATGAATAGAGCTGCGTGTTATTCAACAGTTGTCCTGTTGCAATTGCTGGGGGCAACAACAGTCGTGAGCGTGACTCCTCGGTCTCCCCCCAGCAGCAACACCATACGCATGGGAGAGAGCGGGCTTCAGCACGCAGGTGGGAGTCGGAGTTCCCACAGGTAGAGGTATCTGTGTCTTTCTTATGTGGCTTTTTTTTGTATTTCGTCCATCCCAAGGTATTAAGGAACCCTATACAGCTGCTGCGGTAGCAGCGGCTCTGGTGGCCTTTATCCGCGCGGCTGTGTACCGGTGAGATGCCATTATAACTGAACACGCCGTAATGCCGCCTCAAAAGGTTGTGTTTGACGCACAGAAGAGGTATATGGACATAATGAGTGGCTCTAATGCCTCGTAGCCTCCTCACCCCAGCAAGGATTAGGAATGTTCCTCTGTGTGTAGCAGTGTGCGCGTAGCATGGTCCCTGTGAAGCTGGTAGCTATATAGCTCTACCGGGATACATGCTGCCTAGCAGGGGTCAAGCAACTGTTTAACAACGTTCTACTATGTTAGTGCATGTAACAATGGGGGCTGGCTGTATTTGAGCTTGGGATAGCCCTGCAGCATTAGTTGCAGGGAGGTGAACTCAAGATAGGTGGGCTTCTCTCCGAGCCAATCCTACGCCCTTGGTTAGTGTGCTCAGGACACCTGGGGACGGGATCCGTTCTCACCTACCGTGGAAGAAGTCTTATATGAAATTTGTTGTCTCTGTTGTATCTCACGATGATCCTCGAATAGGATCTCTAACTTTCGTCAGCGATCCTATGTGCGGATAAAGTTTGGTAGCATCGCATGGTTTGTCGGGGCAGGTGCAAGCAGCGAGCGAACACCGCACTCCACGCATGGCCGCCAGGTGTGTAGACGCAATTAGAACTGAAGGTGCTATAAAAGATATGTATGTGTACAGAGGGAAGAAAGAACTTAGACACCCTATGAAAATCTCTAATAAAACCTCAGCCGTGTGTCTTTTTGCATTTTCGAGGTTGATCAGGGCCTTTCCCCTGGTAGAGAGGCTACCAACGGATGGAAGACTCGATGTGTTCACCCTGGCTCACGAGATTTATCCCATTCTGTGGAAGTTGTTATTACAGCAAAACCAATTTATATAGAACGCTTCAACCTTTGCCTGCCGTCCATGTATGACGGCTGCAGCAAGGCGAGGGAAGTAGAGAAGCTCTTCGTTTCGTGGGAGTTGTACTTCCGCCTCCAAAATGCTCCCGAAAAATCACAGTTGCTAGTGATATCTTTATCATTGGAGCGGGAGACATGACAATGGTGATATTATCTATGGAAGGATTTCACTTTTCCGGAGCGCATCTGGACTATGGAAGTGGTCCAGTACGCCCTTCAATGTAGTTTTTTTCTCAGGTCAGCAAATTAAACAGGCTATGCCAAAAATGAGAAAACTCTCAACGGAAGTTGTCGGTAGAGAGCAGCATCTAGAAAGATTGGTCCTCATAAGCACGCCAGGCACTGGACTCGGAAATCCTTTGTCAACTCATAGCAGGGCTGTCCCCCAGAAAGGGACAACCGATAACCATCTGGGTCGAGAGAGAGGAAAAGGTGGAGTGACAGGGTGGAACGTGAGGAGATGAAGCAGTTACGGACCAAAGAGAAGGTAAAAAGCTTCCACTGCACGAGCTGAGGAGGAGTGGGGAGTTAAAAATGACCGGGCGTAGACCCCATGGGTAGTGAGACTGTGAACGCTGGCTTGACCAAGAAGAAGAAACGTGCGAGAACATCTGGCGCCTGGTGAATCCAGATTCCATAATGTGGAAAGTACAGAGCACTGCCCGACTTTGCTACAGACAAGGTCGCGTAGGCCCAGATTGCAGACTTATGAAAAATATTTTAGTAAATGAAGAAGTTTTGTTTCTGGCAGCGCCACTTCGGGAACGAAGAGGAAGATGCCTTGGCCCCCCCGCCACCTGCGGCGAGGTGATGGGGCCGAAAGAGGTGACAGCTCCATTCAGATCCGCCTCGCGTCAACTCTGTCCTTGTTCAACTTCGCATGAATGAGCAGAAGTTGCTGGCACTCTGTAATACAGTCTGTGAAATGGATCTGATGTCTGATGCTAAGGCGAAGAGGTGGAACCTGGCTGCATATTCGTTGGTCCTGTCTTTACGACTACCCTGCGCGGCTGGATAGGAGGCAAGGATCTGCACAAGTAAGGGAGAAAAATGAGAGTGCATTTCAGAAAGCGATCATATTTCTATGATGCGAGCCTTTTTTGTTTGACCAGTTCACCACGCCATAATCCTAGGCACGCCGTGGGTACTCCAGTGAATGGCCCGCATGCTCTCCCAGACGAACTTAAAGAAGCCAATGCACAAGGAAACACTGAGGGAGGGCATTTTCCAGCCCTCCCAACAGGATTTGCGGCCTCTCTGGTAGATGGAGGGCAAGCAGCGTCCCAAGAAAAAAGGAGCTAGCGCAGGGAGGCCCCTACGCAGTGCAGGGGCAACGCAGAAACAGGGAGAAGTCCATGCACTGCGCCGTCATGCTTTCCAGAAAATCGCAGACTTGGCATTCAATTCAGTTAACACTAAAGGGAAAACCAAAATGAGCACAATTAATGTAAGAGTTCTCAAACGTACTCGACAGCAAGGGGCTCCCAGCTGGCCGAACGCTTGCTGGACCCCCAATTCACTGCATTGAATGCACTGCCAGAGCAGCCCCAAGCTTTGTTCCGAAGTATTGGCGACCCCTGCATCTTGAAAACGAAATGCAGCGGGAAGCAGTTTAAGTGCAACGAAAAGGCCAAATTCAACTGTCGGCCAGCATACATCGAAGCACTTCCGTGCTGGCCTGGAGAAATGACAGGATGCTGGGCAAGTGCTTCAACTTCAAAGCCACTAACAATATTCGTGTAGCAAAAGTACCCGAGGGCCCTGATCGAGCAATGACTCTTGCACGATCAAACAGTGTATTCATCATTTGACTTCGGTGATGTGCTTTTGCAGATTCCAGGACATCCCGGCTCAAGGTACAATTATGCGATCCACATCCGCACGGGCAAATCATGTACACATGCATGCTCTTTGGGCCCGTAAAAGCACCGGCGGGAATGCAGCGGCCGGCCAATTACGCTTTTTTGGGGCCAGCCAATGAAGGCTGAATGACTACATACATGGAGGAATTGTCGGTATGCAGCCGGGATGCGCAAGAGAACCTGCAGCACCTACAGCTTGCCGGTCAGCAGCGGCTTTCGGGCACGTTACGTGAGAAACAGTGCTCCGTGAAAGCACAAAAGTGTTCGTTCTTCAAGCAAGCAATTTACTTCTTTGGGTTCTATGTTTCTGTCGCTGGGTTCCACCCATTTCCGGCAAAAATGGAGGCAATTCAGAGTTGGTTGCTACCCATCTTCATTTGCACAGACTTTCTGAAGCGCTCGGTTCCATATCGTGCTAAATATATCAAGCCCCCGAACTTCAGGCCGTCGTATTCTGCAGTAGAGCCAGAAGACTTAATACAAAAGCTCCTAAATAACAGATGACCCCTCCTTCTGTCCCCACGAGTCCCGTGAACAGTTGCCCGTCTGCGAAGGGTTGCTGCGTGGAAGAGCTGGCCGGGCGTGAGCACTACACCTCGTTGAAACTAATGGTGCCAGGCAGCCCCACGTGCAAGCACAGCCAAGCTCCCCTTCAGTGCATGAGCTGACACTGTAAGCATTAGCTAAGCACTTATTTGGCACTTCATTGCCAGCCTGCAAGCAACTAGAGATACGAGTGCCGACTCCCTAGTCATTGCTACAGGCAGCATATCACAGTGCGCATCTCACAGCACATGCACTTAAGTTAGAAATGACCTGAGGAAAAAATAAAGTGAACTGATCGAACCATAAGAAATACTGTGAATGCTTGTTTCCGTAGCGTTGATCCGGACTCGCAGCCGGTAGGCTGCAGGGGATCCCCATCCTTCGTTGCATGGTAGAATATCGTTGTTGTCGGGTATCTCAAGGCTTTATTGTTGTATATTACTAGAACAAATAACACGCTTTTGGCTACTAGTGGTACTGTCTCGCCACAGCACGCATTCAATGTGTGTGGCCCGACGCCACTGCTTGTGGGGGGACACTCCCTGAGTTCAGTCAGGAAGTCCGCCTGCTGCAACCAGCGCACCTCTGAGAGTGAAACTGCATGTGCAAAATACACATACATCCAGGGGCGGCTGTGTCCCCCTCTTTCTGGCGTGCAGAAAACAGCCCTGCTGTTCCTGCTGCGGCATCTGCTGCTGCGGGCCAGGGCCTTCTCTTGCAGGGGCGGAACGGCAGGAGGCACAGAGTTGCATCTTTCTTTCCCTCCCAAAGAGCGGTCGCAAAAGTTGAAATTTTCATATTCTGGCAAACCCAAACTGTCTTTCCTTCTCCCTCTCTACCACGGTGGTCTCTTGCTCCCGCCGCCACGACGGTGGGGGGCGGGCGAGTGGCGAGGCCCGAAAAATTCAGTTGGACGAAAGCGAAAGAGGGGACCAAGGGCCACAAGAACATCGGCCTTCGCATCAAATCTGAAAGGCTGCATGGTGTGGGCATGCGGCGCTGAAGGGACGCGCCGGGGGGAACACATCTACAGCCACAATGGAGCTTCAAGAAGGCGCCTCGAATATCTCCAAAGCGAAGGAGGCTAGTGACAACCGAGAGTCCCGGAAGCGAGCTTCTCGGACTGGCCGAACAGCGCGCACTCGTCCGCCTAGTGTCCCCAAAAGGAAAGTCCGGCAAGCGGGCACGGGAGTAGCATCAGAGGCCATGCAGGGGGCCGCTGCAGCAGCGGCTACACGAGGTGCCACAGCATCAGGTGCTACGGGAGCTACGGCAGCCGGGAAGGCCCCTCGAACTCCTGTAGGAGGCACCACTTCTACGTCAACGGCTCCAGATGCGAAGGAAGACGAGCGCATGACGGAGGGGGTTGCTGAGTCTGCTCTGGAGACGGGTTCCAAGGAGGCCGCCAATGACTCCCTCCTCGAATCGCCGCCCTCACTCAAGCCGAGTTCGAACCCGAACTCGAAGAGGAGAGCAATTATATGGCGAGCTGCATTCGTGGCGGTCCTGTTGGCGGTGGTGCTGATGGGTTTTCGGCGTCTCTTGCGGCCTCGATTGCCTGTTCGGATAGGGCCTGCGTTAACATCGAATGCCAAGGAGGTGCAGATGTACGAGAAGGCTGTTCGACAGGCAACAGGCGAGTTGAAACGGCTTTGGAACCGAGTCTCGCCGGAGGTCCGACAGTCTTTCTACGTGCACTACTCCCCAAAGGTCTACGGCTCTTCATCCCTTACGTCGCCTGTGGAGTTGTATGAGCGCCAGGTGAAGAAAGTATGCGAGAATGAACGTCCGCCGTCTGGGGCCTCTGCCCAAGAGTACGGGCAGTACGCATACCGGCTGCAGGTTACGCGAGTGGTGCTGAAAGCCGCGTTTGCTCGTCTGTCGCAGCTGCAAACGTTTGAGGAATTCCTCCTTTCCACACGAGGTAGCGAAGAAGATCGATACTCCGTGCAGCCCCCCGTGTTGCCTGGTGTGGGTCTGAATTCCTCGGATGAGGAGCTGCTGAGTTTCCGAGACTTTCTCGACCTCCTGGGCTCCCACAGAGCCGCCTTTCCTGTTTTCCCTGACGCCACTGCTAGAAAACCAGCGGTGCCCATCGCTCTGGCGCAGGGCCTCGCCAGGGCGGTGCAGACTGCCGACTTCCAGACGGAAATGGACGCGAAGGTGCACAGGGCGTTCCACGAGCTGCTGCTCGTCACGGGCACGTCGCTGCCATGCGGGTCCTTGCAGCCTTTGGAGGAGTTTGCGAAGCAGGGGCCGCTCTTTGTGGAGCCACAACGCCCCTTTTTCCCCGTCTCCTTTTTCTCTCATCTCCTTGCGGCCTTCGGCAGAGAGCGCAGCTATCAAACATTGACAGACGATGCCTTGTCTACCTGGGCGTACCAGTGGACCTATGAAGGCGCCTCCCAGCGGCTCGCCGAAATCGGAGAACGCATGCGTTCCAGCGCTACTCTTGCTGCTGCAGTGAAGGTGGCGCTGGTTAGCCGCTGGGCCCTACAGCAGCCCCACGACCCTACAGCCTCAACGGACTTAGTCTGTCTCGCATTCTCTCTCCTCTAGCTGCCGTGTTAAAGGCTCTGCAAAGCCGCCCCAAGGCCTCTCTTCCAGTCAGCTCGCAAGTGCCCACTAGGCACGCGACAACCCGACGCTTCGGGACGAACTGGTTTTTATCGTGTGTTTTTTCACTGGGCGGTGCTCTTGTGGAGGTCCCCTCGCCTCTTCCTTCAAGCTGGCTCGCGCGAGTAGGGCCAGGCAAAAGGGGGAAGACAGGGGGGAGATGTTTTTTGAAGGGAGGTGTATGTGCAGGTTTGGCGTTGCGTCATTCGAAGCTTAATCATGAAATGCACCTTCGCCGCGATTGCGCTATATGGGTTGCTGCTGTGCTTGAGAAGGGGTGCTTTACAGTGCAGCGTGCCCTTCCTTTCTTCTGCAGCGCTTTGACCCGAACGCCCCACTTTTCTTTTGTGTCACAATGCCACACGACGGCACATAATGCTAGCATCTAAATAAAAACCCATTTGTACACGCATGCATGCTGCGGACGCTGGCTGCGCAGTAGCGGCACAGCTAAAGAACGCTCTATCTTGTGGCTGGCAGGCCCGCCTTCGTCTGCGGGCTTACTGACCGCAAGATGTCTTTAGTACGAATTTCTGAATGTACGGCAATTCGAAACAGAATTATAAGAAAGCCGCATTTTTTCCCTCGGCAAGCGGTTCTTCACCCTCTCAGCTGCAGCAGGACACTCAGCAGCAGCCTTTCCTCCGCCTCCTCGCCCTATCCCGAATGTAGCAATTCACATACAGGCGCAGCGCATGATTCGAAGCCCCACTTGACTTATTGAAAAAGCACGGGGCTCTCCTGCTGCACGTGGTGCACCTGCAGAAAGAACAAGAAGGAGGGCCCACACACAACACAAACGAGGAGCAGGATTTGGGGTTAAGCGGAATAGGGAAGACATGCCAACAGCGGCCAGAGATTCAGCAAAGCGGCAGCCATTTCCTCCTCCGTCGTTCAAGTGCAAATAGCGATGGGGGCTTTTTCTTTCTTCTTACAGCTCCGAAGGTTCTCGATCTCACAGAAGGACTGTCGCTAGCTGCAAGGGAAATAAAAAGCCTAGGATAAGAGTTCCAAAAAGCCGCAGATAGCCTTCCTTCATTGCCTCCACGCATCCTGGGCACAGCGGCACAAGGGGCTGGGGCTGACGCTGTGGAGAGAAGGCAGCAAATTCTGTCGCGATTTGCAGTGCTACTTGCCGCAACCCTTGCTGCAGGGCAAACCCACACGCATGCATGCAAAATCCCCCTCTTGCTGCATGCAAAAACACTGTATGCAATTTTGAAACCCTTTCTTGGCGCACAGAAGCCAGCCTACACGAAACTGGAATTACTTGGTACACCAAAGAGTTCCGGGCTTGGAATCCTGCACTTCCAGTCTGTCGCTGCGTTGGGTGAAACCACTGAACTTCAGTGTTCCCTGTCGACGTTAGGCATACACCGCGCTGTTCTACGGGGTAGCTCTGCTGCAATATTACTAATGATACTGCTCAGGCATGAGACTGTGTGTACACTCTAATAAGATAAGAAATATCCCTCTTCTTCCTCCCCCTCCTTAACCCCTACACCATTCAAATATTTCTTGAAACAGCATTTGGCAATGTGTATTTCATGAACATCTTAGCTATCAGGCGCGCTGCAGAGGAGGGCAGAAGGGACCGATCCGTGCCCCGAGCTGCCTCGCAGCCCCAACGCGAAGGGATGCATGCGTTAGAAGCGAGATTTTAAACTTTCTAACCCTTCATTCTAGCATACTATTCTCTTTCCTCCACGCAAGGGCGAGCAGCAGATAATTTAAGACCTCCTTCCTGCATAGCAGCGATCCACAGCGACAGACGCGCAGCACGGGGGCCCCCGGGGCCGCCAGCGGGTCGTTTAGTCGAGGCTTGGCTTCTGCATAGATTTCTCTGTCCTTTTTCGTTTACTTTATCTGTTTAGATAAGTGCATCGCCGAGAAAAGAAGCACCGGAGATTTTCAGCCGCCGCAGCCCTGAGGGGCCCCACACCCACGAGCAGCTGCCTCCATCGGGGCCGCTTGTAGCTGTGCATCACAATGAATTTCTGTCTTCCAACGGTAGATGGTTTTCTTATACAGCAGCATCAGGCTCTGGGGCGTCCCTCAGGGCAGGGTGTAGCGTCGGAGGGAGCGCACGATGTTGCAATACCTGCTGCTGCAGCAGGAGGGCCTTCGGCTTCTCCGGCCCCGGCCCCCCCAAACAGCTTGAAGAGCCTGCTGCACCAAATAGCCGGCGTTGCTGCTGCTGCGCAACGGATCCCTGTGGGTGATGACTACACCATTAGGACCTCCACCAGCAGCAGCGCGAGGCGGGCCACAGAGGGAGCAGCTGCAGACACCCTCCGAATCCTCCTGGAGCTTGCTGTTGGATGCTACGGGGGTGGATCAGGATCATTCAGTTCTCTGAGGAAGGCCGAGGCCCTTCATCGTTCTCTTGCTGCTTGCACAGGGCCCTCCGGTAGCGCCCCTAACGGCAGCAGCATCTGCAACAGCGCGCTGCTGCAGCAAGACGGGCTGCAGATTCATGAGGGAGTCGGGACGGGGGTCCAGGGGCTTCTGGATGAGCTACTTGAAGCAGTCGACGTCTCCTTGGAGGCGCACCGGCGCAACCCCCAAAAGAAGATACGCACGCGTTTGCCCCAGGAGCAGCAGCAGGAGCAGCAAGAGCAGCAGAAGAAGGAAAAGCAGGAGCAGCAGCATGATGGGGACACAGTACCAGCTGACGGCACTGCCTCGCCGCATTCTTCTAGACGTGCTGTGCCCTTGCCAGGTTTTCTGGCTGTGCTAGAGGGCCGTCCTCAGAGCAACTGGGCGTTCCTGATAAACAACAACAGCCGACGCTTCGTCCCTCGGCTTCAGCAGAAGCCCCACAAGAAATACCCTTTGCCGGCAGCTGCTATCGAGGCTGAACAGCGGCTAGCCCTCAGGCTTGAGAAGCGTAGGGACCTTTTCGAGGATGCAGTGTCGACTGCCTTGGCTCTGGAGACAGCAACAGGCCAGCAGCGGCAGCTGCTGTTGCAGCAGCTGCAGCAGCAGGAACAAAATATGCAGAAGCTGCAGCAGGAAGAAGATGATGCCCAGAAATCGGAGAGTGCGGAGCCCCTCCCTCACCCTTATGAGGGGGAATTGAAGGCACTGCAGTGGCTGCTGCAGGGAGACCAGCAGCAACCAGATGTGTACTCGGGTATGTCCACCTCTAGCGCTTGCCACGTCATGAGCAGTTCTTGCTGTTAGTCATGCTGCGGATGCTGTACCTGCTCTAGTTGCATCGATGGCAGCAGCAGCAACGGCAGCAGGGCGCGGGCACCAGCACGAGTAGTTTGAGGAGTAAGAGCTACTGCTGTGCGTGCGCATTGCTGCTTCTGCCGCTGCTTCTGCCGTGGTTGGTCCTTATCAGATTTTTTCGCCTTGAAAGAGCCTAGAATGCCTCAGCCTGTTGAGGAGACGCCTCTTGTTTTCGTGGAGACGCCGCAGCAGCTCCGGGAGATGCTGGACGAACTCTGCAGCGGTCAGATTCGCTGTTTCCCTTTTTGTGTTGTAGTTGCTGCTTTTGCTGTATCTAATAGCGACTGTGGTCCTGTTGCTTATCCCACTGATTGTAACGCGTTTTTTTTGTGCTAATACTGCGGGGGCTTGTTGCTTCCAGGGAATTGATGATGGCGCATCCTTGCGTGTACGCCGCTGCTGGCTTTAATGCTGTTGTTCGTGTTGCTGCCTCTGCTGCTACTGCTCAGGACGTCACAAGGTCGTGGCCATTGACACGGAGCACCACTCGTATGAAAGCTACAAAGGCTTCGTGTGTCTGCTGCAGCTGTCCACCTGCAGCAGCGCGGGGGCGGCCAAGGACTTCATCGTGGACCCGTTTTCGTTGTTTACTTACCTTCCAGCTTTAAACGAATTGACGGCGAACCCCAAGATCCTCAAGGTTCTTCACGGTTCAGCCAGCGACGTCTTGTGGCTTCAGGTGTGTCGGCTGCTCAGTTTATTGTAATGACTGCATTATGCTACTGTAGGAATACATATTTGGATCCATATTCCCTGCCTGAATGTGGTGCTTGTGGTTTGAACTTTCAAACTGAGAAAAGCAAATTAAAAACACGCACGTCAATTATTCTAATACATATGTTGTACTGTGGACTGCACTCGACCATGTTGGTTTGCCCTAAGGTACGGAGGAGTGGAAAATTGTATCAGTTCCTTGAAGACTTATGTTGTAGTGCATTCTCTCTTTTATTATGTTGCTTGCGTTTTGAAATGGAAGACTGAGAAAGCAAATGAGGTGCATGAACCAAGTAGTTGAGTAATTGCGTGTACTGCATGCACGTTTCGACTATGTTGTTCGTGTTTCGCAATCGAAAGCTGGAAAAACAGAAACAGTCCATGAGCCAGTCATTTCAATGCTTATGTTGCTCTCATCACCCTATTTGAATATGTTATTTGCGATTTTTAGTCGATTACTGCAAAATAAATATGAAGCCGACGAATGGAACGGCTGTGCATTAGTTTGCTCCGCCTCTCGTATTCATGAACACTGCACAGGCGTCCTGCTTCTGCTGCGGCGTGCTGCTCGTAGCAGCTCCCCAGCAGACGCAACGATGCTTCTGGCCTGTTTGGCTAAGTTCTACCTGTGTCGTAAGGAGAGACATGCTCTTGGTCTTTTGTGATGCCACACCGAGACGCAGCACCGCATTTTTTCCCTGTGTTGGGCTTGTATGTTTCAAGTATTCGCATGCATACGTGCATTTGTCTCTTCTTGGGTGTCTTTTGCCCGTTTCACTCCGTGCATGCCCCAGACAGCTGCTGCAAAACACGCACCTGTTGCTCTGTCCCTGTTTGCCGCAGCGTGATTTCTCTGTTTACCTCGTTAATGTCTTCGATACGGCTGTGGCAGCTCGGACCTTGGCTGTTCCGGGTGGTGCCTCTCTGGCGAACCTGCTCAGCTTCTACGTGAAGAAACAAAAGGACACGAAGATGCAGCTAGCAGACTGGAGAGTCAGGTGGGCCCTCTTCCTGCTAACAGCAAACTGATGAGTTGTCTTGTTCTCGAAGATGTATTTTGGTCTCTGGTGTTGACGTATGCTGTCGCTGGAATATGTATTTGCCACAGTTGTGTATCTGCTGCTACTGCTGCTGCTGCTTAGACCTTTAACGGAAGAAATGAAGGCTTACGGCCGGTCTGACACGCATTACCTGCCTTACATCTACCAATGCATGCAGAACCAAATTCTCGCCAGAGACGACCAGTACGTTGTGCTGCTGCTCGCTGCTGTTGGCTGTTACTGTGCTACTTCTGGTACTGCTGCTACGGTTCGTGCTGCTGCTGCCGGGCAGGCAGAGACAGTAGCAATTGATGCTTCATCATGCCATGAGAATGGCAACAGTATTTTGTCTGGTTCTATTGTTTTCGTGTTCCTCGAGCTGAACAATTTGTTGTTGCTGTCACTGCCCCTGCCGCTGCGAATGCCACCACAGAACGGGGATGTATAACTTGGGTTGCACAACGCCGGAGGATCTGGGGGACCCCACAGCTGTATGTATAACAGGCACAGTAGAGGCAGTACCACTTGATGCTGCTGCCAGAAAACTTAGTTCCCTTACACATGGCATTAGGTTAGCGGCTCTCAGCCACCGCGTTTGTTAAGCAGGAGCAAGGAAAGAACAGCAGGAGGGCGGGAGGGCGTCGCCGGCAGCACTGCATTTGCAGTTTGCCAGCAGCGGGGGTTACTTGCCTGTGCTTTGCGCGGGTGTTCAGTCAGGACGAGCGGCAATCCTAGGAGTGCTGGAGCGCAGCAGAGACATTTGCCTTTCCCTGTACACGGAGGGGCCGTTTGATGAGGAGAAGGAGGCAACACAACTCCTAAAGAGAAACAGCACCGCCCTCGCCCCTCTTTCTTTTGCCGTTCTGGTAAGATAAGCTGATCATCTTGTCTACGCTACTGCTGCTGCTTCTGCTGCTGCTTCTGTCGGTGGTGGTGGCAATTCCAGTCGTTTTCACTGGGGTTGTGGCTGTAGCAGACATGCGCTTGTGCATGGTTCTCATTTTTTCTTGTCGAGGCTGTTGCTGATGCTTATCTACCGTGGTCTTCTGCTGCTTCTGCCACTGCTGCTGCTGCTGTTGCTGCTGCTTGTGCTGCTGTCGCTGATGTCTGAACGCATCCTGCTTTCCTCTAATCTGGGCTCAGAAGGGACTCCTGTCATGGCGAGACTCTGTGGCGCGAAAAAGGGACGTCAGCCCTCATGCAGTCCTGGCGAACGCATGCCTTTTGCTTCTGGCGCAAAGGGTGCGCAGACAGCGCACGATGGCCACACACGACTACGAGCATCACTTGTTGCTTCAACAGTAGCCCAGATGCACCCGGGTAGCAGCACCAGCCTTTGCTGATGCTGATCTGCATCTTGCCTTTTCGTTCGCACCGCCCCTCCTGGAAGAACCTGCTGGTTCCACTGGTGCACCGCTGGCGTTTGCTGCGATTGAGCTGCTGCTGCAGAGGCCATTGAACCACGTCCAGCTCCGTCACGCCATCCGCCCCACACCACCAGCGGTGCACCGATACGGCGCGGAGATCCTTAAAGCCGTCCAAGTGTGCTACCGGCTGCAATAAGAAGACCCTCAAACAGAGCTGCTGTCCTGGCTGTTGCTGCCGCCTCCCTGCTGTATCAATGCCACCGCCATACCGCTCCAGCTTTGCTGCTCTTGTGCTTTGCCCTCAGGGAGCTTTAGAGAAAGCAGTTGCGTCCCCTACTCCTACAGCAGGCCCGGACCAGGATCAACGACCAGGAGAGCAGCAGCCGCAGCAACATCAGCAACAACAGCCAGAGTCGATGCCTGAGGACACGGATGATCTGTTGCCGTCTGCTGCAGTCCTAAGAGAGGCTGTAGCTGCACAGCAGCAGCAGCTGCTTGCCTCAGCGGATGTTCCGATCTCCCCCTCACAGGAGCCAAACGAAGGGATTGGCATGCAGAGCCGGCCTGGCGGCTATGATAGCACGAACAGTAGCAGTATTAGTAATAGTAGTAGTAGTAGTAGTAGTAGTCGCAGCGACAGTAGCAAGTGGCCGGAGCAGCACGACTGGTCTGTGCAGTTAGGGGGCATCTTCTCCATGGGTGTGAAGGGCTCCAAGCCGCCGGTCATAGTTCAGGTTTCTTCGGCTGTCCTCTCTTGTCGCATGGAAGGAATGATTGCTCACAGTGAGTGGCTGTGGTTGCTGCCGTTGCTGTGGGTTATGGCGATGTTTCAGTTGCATGTGTTGTGTAGTAGCCTCGTATTTTCCTCCGAAGTTCGTATTGCATGTTCAAGTCCTACTTTATTTTTAAAAATAAAGTACGGAAGTGGCGAAATAGGTATACGCGTTGTCCTTTCAGCCTGTCATTCCTTCGCTGGCTGTGGTGCATGTGTCTTCTGCAGACACGGCAACGCCTGATGGTTTGTCTTCTTTTGAAAATGTGAGTGAAGGACTTGTGAACAGCAGCACAAGCGTATCAGCGCAACAAGCACAGCAGAAACAACAACAGCAGCACTTGCAGGGGCAAGTCGCTTTGTTTTTAGGGTGTCTGTGAAGCTGATTCGTCGCTGCTGCGCTCAGGCCCAAAACCCCTCACACACAGCACGGCAAGTTGCTCGCTGGGTGTACGGGCAGCTGCAACGGATGGAGCAGGGCAGACTGCTGCATGCCCGTACCAGCAAGCAACACAACCGGATGGCAACGCCAGCAAAAGAGGAGGAGCAGCAGCAACATCTTGACAGCACAGTCAGTTTGATGCTCCCCGCCCACCCCCCTCCACCGCCGGACCCAGAAACCGTTGCAGCAGCGGTCGCAGCGCCAATGACTTGTGGTTCTGCTGCAGCCGCATCGACGGAAGCAGCAGCGGCATCAGAAACGCTACCAGACCCTTCTGCCAAGGATGTCATTGAAGGAAACCGAGGCAGAAAGAGGGCGTCCCCTGCGACGACGGAGACCCCGCTGGGCCTTATTCCTGTGGCTCAGCAGACGTGGAAGAGGCGAAGGAAACAGCGCAAGCGCGCGGCAGCTGCAGAAGCAGCGCCTGCGCGAGTAGCGGAAATGGGTGGCAGTACGCTTGGCTTGTCGGGCACTACAACTGGTGGTGCAGTGCCTTAGTGGTGCAATCTGCTCGTGCAAGCCCGGCTGCATAAGCTGCTGCTTTATTTTTGCTTTCGAGGGATGTAGTACGCCCCTCATGGCAGCCTTGTGCTGATGCAGTACCGCGGGCGAAGGCCTAATATGCCTTGGGCCACCAGCTCTGTTTCTAGCTGCAGCACCTCGCTGCAGCCGTTTACCCAGCTTCAGCAGCCCAGTGGCTTTCTGGAGTATCTGCAGTACTGGTGTTGATTTAACGGGTGAGGAAGGGCTCCTCTGGCCCGTCGAGACACCAGTCACGGGACGCCCCCGAGCGTCAATAGTAGACAGCAACGCTTCTGGATGAGTAGACCCCCGTATGTCCCTGCAACAGATCAGTCACCTACGCCGCTACACCCCTGTCCTGTAGGCGTTCAGCAGCCGGCGTAGTGCTAAGACAACGGAGATTTAGAGTTTAGGAAAGCCTGAGGCAGATGCTGCTCCTGGGCGGCTCAACTGTCTCCTCTACACGTCGTGCAGACACTTTTGCTTGTCAAATGAAAACATATTCGGCACAGAACCGAAATCTCCACTTCCCACAAAAGCAAAACAACGAAATAGGCCCTGACAACGGTTGGCCCCTTCCTCGTCTGACCGTCCCTGCAGAATCCTTCTATGCTTGTCAGGTCCCTGTGTTTCAGTGTTTGCTTGTTTGTTTGTGCGGTGACGCCAGTCCTCTCGAGCAGCTCTTTGAATTTCTCAGAGAGAGATAGAGCACGGTGCTCGACGGTAAGGCAAGTCAATGCATGCTGTGAAGCATAGTTCATTCAACGAATCCAGGAGTTGCCACCAAGGTGTGCGTAGAAGTCCGCACGCACTCCTCAAGGAAATTGTGCGGCCATCCATAAAAACTCTGCGCGTCTGCCTGTGCGCCATGTCGTAACCATCGACTGAAGTCCGCCTGTTTCAGCTGAAATCCCTTGCCCGTGTTCACCAAGATGGTGCGTTTGCTCGGGTTGTACACACTCGCCTTCTGGGTTTCTCTGTCTATTTGAAGATCCTCTCACGGTAATAGGCAAGCTCCCGAATGCTTTCCTTGATATCGTCGAGCGCCCTATGCATGTACTGTTTCTTCGCTGGTGCCACCAAAGGAAACCACCTTTGTGCAATGACCTTGATGCTGGAAACATCTAATATTCGGTAGTGCAGAAACTCCAGCAGCGCCGGCATCTCTTTCCTCAGGAATTCCTTGTCCATATGAATCGAATTTCCAGCAAGAATTGCTTCTTTAGCGCCTACGCTATTCTTTTTCAAGAAGGCGATGATGCGCTCCTCGGCGTCGCGTGCAGTGAGAGTCGCTCGCTGACAGGCTTCCGTTAGACCGGAGTTCCCGTGCTGCTGCCGACACCAAGCCCCCATCTCCTCCAGTTCTTCTTTTGGGCAATGCAGCACCATGCTTGGCCCCTCTTGCATGTGCTTCAGCTCCCCGTCCGTCAAAATGCACGCAACCTCCAGGATCCTGTCCCTAGCAGGATCAAGTCCTGTCATCTCGCAGTCCAGCCACAACAGGGGCTGCTCAAACTGACGACCCATCGCGGTAAGTAACGGATGGTATGCAGGGGGAGGAGAAACGCTCGTAGTCGTTGAAGAAGACGGGAGAAAACGCAATATGCCGCTTCTCCTGAGCAATCGTCTACCCACCAAACAGAGGCAAGAGCACACACCTAGCTAGCTGTACGCCTTTCATTCTATCTGGCTGACTAATTTGCTGCCCAGCTGTGCCAAGATACGGAAATGGTTGCTCTTACTCACAAGCACAACAACGATGCCCAGCAGTGTCATGCAACGGAAGTGGTTTTTTGCACTGTAGTTCACACAAGGAGATGAGACGCAACTCAGGGTGGTGCTTCATACACGTCCACGTGAAACTTACGATATTTGCTCCTTCAAAACCAAAAGAAAGCAGATGGGATGAAGGCAAGACTCTCCGACAAAATGCCGATGCACCTCTAAGTGGATGCTGTCTTGTGGTTGGCGGTCGCTGTGCAGCCTCCTCAGCCAGCCGTACTCTGTCCTGGGCAGGAACACGGCTTCTTCCCCCCTTGGCTGGTGTGGGTGCGCCTACAGACTAGTGCAGACACTCGCTTTCGAAATTCAGCGGCAAATGGAACTGAGTCAAATCACGACGCCGGATCAAACGCGATCATCCGAAAACACTCTCAAAGCCTGGTTCCTCTCCAGCTAGACGACGTGGTAGAAGTTAATGGCGGCCACGAAATATACACCTCCAAGACTCATTGCAGATCAGAGGCAACTAGGTAGTACCAATACGTAGTTACTCAATTATAATGGTTGAGCTTGCTTCTCTGGGCGCTTCATCCGAGCCTCCACAACTGCCCAAGAGGTCACCCCAACAGCTATTGTTTTGTTTGCTATTGAGATATCTATGCAAGAGTAAGAGGCCACACGGCCTCAGAGCCAGTAGGATTTGGGCCTCAACCCTGTGAAACAACACCGAGACCCACTCATTGCCCGCCCGCGCCGCACAAGGAAGAAACTCACCGGCACACAGATGTACAAAGATAAAAATGAACGAACACTTCAGTTACACCTCAAAATTTACCCAGGCATTCAACAACAGCAAGAACGGAGAAGGAGGCGGTCCCACACAACACAGAAGGGGGGGTGGGGGGAATGCAGAGCCCCCAGTCTTTAGCCTGCTGCACCACATGCCCTCGGTGTATGAGGGAGCACGATTCTAGCCAATTAATTATTTATCTGTCCGGAGATTTATCTACTTCGTTGCGGCGCGTTTTCCTAGCCGTGCCACCGTGCGCAGTCGCAAGCCGCCGGCTGGGTTGCGCTGCTGAGAATCTTCCTTGAAAAAACTGCTGTTTCGGTGTTTTGGTACTTGAAACCCCATATGCATCTAACAGTTGGCGGCGATATTTGTGCATGCATTTGAGAGGGGCTACATAACAAAGGTCGTGGGCGAGGACATCACTGAAATGCGCGAGTCCAGGACTCAGGACAATAGTTCCCTAAAAGCGTCTGATACCATCCCATGCAACGGCCCTGGGCATGTGAATGGTGCAAGAAGGGAGCAGATTCTGTCATGAGTAGCAGCGCACTTTCCTTTGCTCGAACTACTAGTGCTGCAAACAACCCCGCATACAAATACAACCGAATCATATTTGCTGCATCCACAAACACTGTAGAAAAAATGCTACTCATGCGTTCCTAGCACCACTTTAGTCCTGCACGCTAAATAGAATAGAACCACTGTCTCGAGAAAAGGCAGGAAGAGACTCCATCACACCGCAGGGGCGCCGCTAAAAACCGCACTTCGTCGTGATGGTCTAACGAAAATCGCAATTTTGGGGCATTCTAGCCAGTTGGCAACTAAAGAACAGAAGGCGTGAGCGCTGTTGGAAAAAGGCTTCTACTGGAGTGCGAGTGTTTCTCAACCTCACGCTGGTCAAGGGATCAGTCAAGGTACTCGGGCTCAGTGGAATTAAGAATGACTTCAGATATAACGGAAAAGTACATTCCTCATGCAGAGGCAGAAGGTTCGCTCCTCTGTTTACGGGGAATAATTATCAGAAGCTTTCTAGGGAGTAAGCGCGGGGAGTAAACCCTACTCCAGGTGCATGCGCGCGCGTTATGAATAAATAAAAATGTTGGGGTTTTCGATCATCAGCCTGGCAGTCCCCCGTGGACTATGTCTTTGTTCTCGTAATGGCAGCCAGCGAACTATTTGCTAATGATTTATACTCAGTGGCACGCTTCCGTAGCTGCGCACGTAGCCCGAGACAGAGACTGCGCTAGACTTCATGTGCGGTAGTTGCAGGATGTGCGTATTAAAGATAAAAGCACAGTGCTTTTTGCATTATATTGCCCTTGCGGAGAAACATAAAAAAGGGCATTCTTAGCACGGACACACAGCACAACTTTTACAAGAATTTTGTCGAGATGCTCGTTGGGAATCAGATAATTCATTTTGCCCCTCACCGGTATAGCGCTGCATTCATCGGGTCGCTCCCCTTAGCATTCGTAAGCATTCAATTCTTAGCAGGGGGTCGAGGATGGACAGGAATCTCGGCACTACTGGGCCGCCGATGCAGTCAAGCAAATACGCTGGCTACAGTGTTTTCCGAATGGGAACGTGACTGCAGATTGCGCCTTCAGGCCGGTGGCTGAATGGCTGGAGAAGGTTATGTGCCAGATGGAGCAAGCGCCGTTGGTTGTGCCGCTCACCGCAGAATGTAGAAGGCTCACCCGGACGTATCTCGCACCTGCAACAGCTAACAGCTACATCGCAGCCGGTGCGTGTTACACGAGGCTGAAACAACCGTAGTTCTGGCTGAACGCAAAATGATTCTGTTCGAGCAGCAATGTTCTCAACAAGCCGTTGTATTTCACAATTGATGGCGCACTGAATGCGCTGAGCCTTGAGAAATAAATTCTTTTTAAAAAGCTCCCAACTACCAGTTGCCTTCTGCATCCTACAGCCCGGCAACTGCTGCGACTATTTTGGGAACCTTCCTGTCGATCATGTTAGTCACGACGGCCCATTAGCTCGCAACCGTTCAAGGAGCTGCCCTGGCACCGCCTTTACGACGCAGGCACAGGCTTGCGGGTTCACCGCCTTCGAGGGCGCACAAAACTTGAACCGCTGCTTGGCAATCTTTGATTCCGTGAGTTGAGTATCTGCAGTCGTAGCACTTCTTCAAGGGGTTACGCACGCACGCCACCCATTCAACAAGCTCTGGCCTTGCAGCCTGTACCTATCCTCCGCATTCCGAGTGAAGACACACGGCATGCCGACCTCGTTCAGCGAAGCCCGGCTGGAGTTCCCGCCGGTTTTTGCCAATGCATTCAAACGAAGAGACGCGAGCATAGCCCATAACATAACTTGGGTGAAAGATGAGTGGAAGGCACTAAACGCGCTGGAGCTCCATCCTCCGACGGTATTCACCTCTCGACGCCTGCTTACTCCATAATGGTGCTGATACTCGTGTGAGATGCGGCGCCAAAGCCAATGCCCTGCTATTATGAATACGAACTATATTACGCATAGCATCCACACCTTCTGCACTTCGGAAGCCGGGTGAGTCACAGGCTTATATCAAGCTGTTGGTCCTAACGCTTGCTGGTTAAGATTACTAATAACTACTAATGGCTACAAGAAAGGCATCAATGCCCAACGCAGTTGCACTCCTCCGCAGAAGTTTGAGGTAGATGCAGGGACCCCTGAAGGCATGCAAAGGGGAATCTCGCAGTCTCGCTGGCTCACAGCGTGTCTGGACACCATATCCACACGTATAGAGATGTGCGTAGGCCCATGGGAAAGCAGATAAAGACAAAAGGAGAAAAGAGCCAGCTGGAATGTAGGGAGAATATTCAGGCGTATCAGAGAAGACAACGCTCACTGACAAAAATGGAGGCATCTATACGCAACCACGGCTAACGCCGTTACGACCCACGTTTCCTCTTCGCTTCACACTGAATGCTGATGGTCTAAACGAAAAAGTACAAGAAAAAACGCACTGGAAGCCACATAACGTGCGATGCACTGCAAGAAGGAAATAGGGAGAGCAGACGATAGAACGGGAGAGTGGCGCAATGCAGGCAATAAAGAGCTGCAGCCAAAAGAAAATGCATGATCGACGAATCTTTGTCTCTTCCACACTGCTCCAGAGAACCCATAACAAAAGCCAGTCCCCCTGGCTTTGCCAGCTCAGGATGGGTCGACTAAGCCGTTGCAGTCAGCAGCGGGTGCACATGCTGCTGATGCAGGTGCTGCTTCTGGTGCTTCTAATGCCAGTGCAGCAAAAACTTCCAAAATGACACAGAAAATACAAGCTGCCTGTCTCTAGCCTGCTCCCCCCTCTAGCAGTAAGCGTTAAAGAGGCTTGAGTTACAGCAGCAGCTGAGCTAGAAGCTGCAGCACTGTCTGCTCCAGCAGTAAGCCTGTGAGGTGAGCCACAGCGCCGAAACAAACCCCTGCCGGACAGCACGAGGCAAGCGAAGCGGTCATAAGGCGCACTGAAGCAAACTTATTTCAATGCAAGCAGGCAACATCGCACCTGGGTACCGGTGCAGCTGCTACTTAAGTGCGTCCATCGTTGCCACCAAGGGGTGTACTGCCTCCCGAAGCGGAGGCAGCAGCACTAAGGTCCCCAACAGGAAGTCCGCTTGCGCCTGCTGTGCCGCCGCTGCTGTTGCCATCTTCAGTGCTGTTTACGTGCGGCGCTGAAGACGGGCCCCCTGCTGTGGGAGTGTTCGACGTGGAAGGGGGGCCCCCACTGCTGCCAAAGCCAGTAGCACTAGCAGCGGCTGCTGCTTGGGGTTTCGGTGGCATCAGGAAGGGGGTCACAGGTGGAGGGTACATTTTGTTGAGAGGGACAAATTTATCCGAGCTGCAGCACCGCACCGGCAGCCCGGGATCGAAGTACCCGCAGGCGCTCCATGCAAGCATTTCCTTAATGTAAAAAGGGCCCTGCATGCAACAACGCAAACAACAAACAACAAAAAGAAAGGAATCACAACATAGACTGACATGCATACATGAAAAGCGACAGCAAGCCTGAGAAACTAATCACGACAATGCCTACAACAGGCCAGCAATTCCCGCCCGTAAACTCCTTTGCTGCCACCAGTGTAGCTGCTGCACTGGCACGCTCTCTGTAAGTCCCGCTGCGTAGGGCTGCTGCTGCTTGTTGCTGCAGCAGAAGCCTCTCCTCGGCCACAACGTACCTGCACGTTCCCCTTGGGGTCAATGTACTGCCAGCACTTCTCATTCATTGCATCTGGCCTACGTCCCTGCTGGTGCTGTCGTTGCTGCTGTTGCTGTTGCTGTTGTTGCTGCTGCTGCTGCAGCAGTTGCTGCAACTGCTGCTGCTGCTGCAGCAGCTGCTGCACTTGTAGCTGCTGCTGCTGTTGTTGCATCTGTTGCTGAAGCAGTAGGTGTTGTTGTTGCAGCTGTTGCTGCTGTGGGTGCTGCTTGTGCTGTTGCTGCAACTGTTGCATCAGTTGCAGCTGCTGCTGCCGAGTAAGCTGTTGTTGCTGCTCATTGTCAGTCCCGCTGTTCCAAGTTTGTTGCCTTAGGCCGTGTCTTTGCTGCGACGTCGCTGTGGAACGTTGCCCCCTGTAGTGCTGTTGTTGCTGCACCTCGTCATGCTCCAGCTGCTGCTGCTGCTGTTGTTGCTGAAGCTGTTGCTGCAGCTGTTGCTGCTGTTGAAGCTGCTGCTGCTGTTGTTGCAACTGTTGCAGCAGCTGCGCCGTCTTCTGAGCTCCGTCGCCCTGCTGCAGTCGCTGCAGCAACAGACGCGCTTCCCGCGGCAGGTTCATCAAGGTAGCGGCAGCTGATGCCGCTGATGACGCCTGGCGCTGCTGCTGCGGCACGTGTACGTCCAAGCTGCCATCTCGTTGCAGTTCTGATTGTTGCTGCAACTGAAGCAGCTGTTGTTGTCGCAGCTGCTGCTGCCGTTGCATCTCCTGTTGTTGGATTGCTTGTTGCTGCTGAAGAACCAGATTGCGTTGCTGCTGCTGCTGTTGCTGGTTTTGTTGTTTATGCTGCTGTGCTGCAGCAGCACGCAGCAGCGCCAGTGCCTTTTGGTGCTGCTGCATCGCAGCAGCTCCCCGACCCAAAGTGGGCTCGGCAGTACCTCGCTGTAGTTGCTGAAGCAATGGGCGCAACTGGGCCTCCAGGTGCTGCTGCTGCTGCTGCAGACAAAACCCAAAGCAAGCAAACAAGAGCACTGTGTAGCAACGGCCACCGCAACACCAGGATTCAGGCAGGAGAAACAGCAGCAGCCATACTAACGAGATCTGAATTAGCGAGGGTTTCACCGATAATGCGCAAGACGGACGAAAATAGCGTAAGTGAGCCTTACCAAGTCTTGCTGTTGCTGCTGCTGCTGTTGTTGCTGCTGCTGCTGTCTCAGAAGCAGCAGCTGCTGCTGCTGCTGCTGTCGCACCGCTGCAGCCGCTAGCGCACTCAGAGCGTTGTCTCCTCTCGTTGTTTGTTGCCACTGCTGCTGCCGCACCACCTGATTCTGCTGCGCTGAAGGCAAGTTCGGCAGCATCATCCGCAATGCTGCAGACAGCTCCTCAGCCGACAACTGCTGCTGCTGCTGCTGCTGTGAATTGTGTCCTGGTGCACGAGAAAAGCCAGCGCTCCCTGCCTGCTGGATTTGCAGCTGCTGCTGCAGATGCTGCAGCAGTTGCTGCTGCTGCTGCTGCTGTTGCTGCTGTTGCTGCTGTTGCTGTTGCTGCTGCTGCGGCTGCCGCACCTGGGAACCTATGACCCCTACGGGTGGATGTGCTGGCCCCACCACTTGAAGACCAGCTGCTGCTGCTTGCTGCTGCATTCCGGGGGCGCGACTTCCCTGCTGCAGCAGCTGCTGCTCTTGCAGCTGCTGCTGCTGCTGCTGCAACTGCTGCTGAAGCTGTTGCTGTTGGAGTTGCTGCTGCTGAAGCTGATGCTGTTGCAGCTGCTGTTGTTGTAGCTGCTGTTGCTGCAGTTGGTGCTGTTGCAACTGCTGCTGTTGCCAGTGCTGCTGCCACTGCTGCTGCCGCTGCTGTTGTTGCTGCGGCTGAACCATTTGCAGCGACTGCTGCTCCAGCATTGCAGCCAGATCTTCCACTCCACCTACAGAACAACAGCAACAGCAGCAGGCAGGCAAGCAAAGGGCCTTGTGCAGGCAGTGTATATAACAAGGCGCATGCAGGGAGTATTGGCTGACAACTGGCAGCACTGTTCCAAAGCAAATGCAGCGGCAAAGGCTCCACCACCTACCGCTTGCTAGTGAGCAATCTGCCCCGAGGGAAGCTGAATCCGCAGCCTTGCGCCGGCTGTGTTGTTGCTGCTGCTGTTGCTGTTGAACCTGTTGCGTTTGATGTTCCTGTTGCTGCTGTGCCGCAACGCCTTGCGACCCCTGACCGCCTTCATCTCCTGAGAAACAGGCGCTCGCCGGAGCACTTGATGCGGCATCTTGCTGCTGCTGTTGGCGTCCTCCCGCCGCAGCTGCAGAGCTCCTGCTGCCGCTTCTAGCCTGTGAGGTGCTGCTTGAGCCGCTCCCGCCTCGCTGCTTCCCTTCCCCTGCAGCAGCAGCAGCAGTAGGCGCCGCTGCAGCCCCCGCTGCTGCCTCCTCAGAAGGGACTCTCGGTTCTTGCTTTGGCTCTGAAGGCAACAGCAGCGAGACGCACACGCAGATCCGGACGAAACCACAGCAGCAACAACACGCAAACACTCAGCAACAGCAAAGACAACTTACGGCGCCTCCATTCCAGTTCAACCACCTCTCCCTCCTTCCGCTTCGCCGCTGCAGCAGCAGCAGTCTTCCGACGCCTCAGCTGTTCGCGCTGTCTCCGCAGCTCCTCGGGCAGCTCCGACTCGTCCAGGGCCTCCCCTGCAAGAGCCCAAACACAAGCACGCGCTGTCTTTGCTGCTGCTGGTGCTTCTGCCAATGCTGCAGCTGCATTCCACTGCTGTGCAGACACCACAGCAGGTCGACCTCCCCCCTCTACGTGCAATGCCTGCTGAGAAAGCCCCCTGCAACAGCAGCAGCAGCGGCTGCTGCAGATATTTGTGCTGCTGGCTGTTGCAGCTGTTGCAGTACCCGCGGCACAGCCTGCTTACCGTTCATTATGCGGGAGGTTATTCCCCGCTGTGTTGTCCCCCTCGGCCGGAAGGCTTGGTTCTCCGCCGCGGCCAGCAGACGCTCGTTGGGCTGAGGCGCACTCGGAGGCTCCCTGAGAAGGTAAGATACAGACACAAAAAAAGCTATAAGCAAAGTCCCCAAGGCACTCCGGCCGTCCCTGCTGCTGCTGCTGCTGTTGCTGCTGCTGCTGCCGTTGCTGCTGCTGCTGCCGTTGCTGCTGCTGCTGCTGTTCGCCCGGATACCCACAAATCAGACTCCGGCTTCCAGGCAATATGGTACAGCTCATCGAACTGAAGACGTTGCACAGACTCCCCTGCAGCAACAACAACGCCAAGAGCAACCCAACGTTGCGATGAGCACAGGCTAGGTCAGCAACAAAAGGTGGGTTGCAATACTAGCAAAAGAGCACCTCTCGCCAGCTACAAAACGAAGACAGACCGAAGAAGCGACGCCACCAAATGCACGAAACGGCAACAACACGATAAGCGGCACCGGCAGCAGACAGTATCTTGCCTCTGTAGTCAAGTACGCTCAGGCAGTTGTCAACCTTCATGCGGGGGTAGGTGGAGGCCGTTGCGAAGTAGGAGCCACAGGGAGCCCACAAGGCCAGGACGGTGCACGGGGCTTTGAATTCGCTAATGTGCTGCATGCCCTGCGACGCTTTGTCTCTATAATAAAAGCTGACTTCCCCTGCACACAGCGCAGATGGCAACATCTAGCACAGGCAGTGAATCGCTCAGTAAGAGCTGCGGAAAACGGCTGCGTAATGCAAAGAATACACGAGAAAGCAACCCTGAGACTGATTTCTCTTGTATCTACACCCAGAGAGGACGGCGGCCCAGGGTCGAGTAGCGCGCAACTCGAGGAAGCAAGCGATTGCAGCAGCACACGACAAGAAGTGCCGCATCTGAACGGCAAGCTACAGAGAAGCACGCGTCTGTAAAAGCTGGCATGAAAGGACGTGAATAAGATGATGCAATCAGTGCCCAGCGGAGTCGAACAAAGCAGCAACCCCCCCAGATGCAGCGACCAACGGGCCACACGGGGCAGGAGCGCGTTCGTGGGGAGCAAGAAAGAAGGCAAAAGAAGACAAAATGCTTTCCTTCTTCTTCTCACCCGCTAGATTTCCAAAGCCAGCAACCACCGCCATCTGGCCAAAAGGGCAAAAAGATACGAAGTTGCGATATCGACGCGGGAAGACAAACTGCGTTCGCCCCTGGCGGTCCAGCAGCACGATGTCTAGAGGCAGCAAACAGCAAGCAACAAGCAGCCGACGCATTTGCAGCTCAGTGCACCACCAGACAGACCCAAAAGCCGTCGAAACATAAGGCAGCATCCCCTACTACCACGACGCGTGTGCTGTACATCCAGCCCAAACAGCAAACACGCAACGCCAGGCATAAGCTGCCGTCTCACCACTTGGAGACTTCCCCTCTATCAGAACAAACTCGTCCCTAGTAGGGCTCCATGTTACATCCTGCACGATCTTCTTGCTGATGCGTCTGACGCAGCAGTGAAGCGCCAACGAAGCATCCTCCTCCTGCAGCTGCTGCTGCTGCTGTTCTTGCAGGGCCAGGCGCTGTATGTGCTGCAGAGCAGCAACGGCCTGTGGATGCTGCGGCGTACCAAAGGAAACGGCCCAGCAGTCTCCAACTCCACCGTAATTTTCCCCTGCAGGAACACAATGCAGCTCATGCAAAGAACCTCATCAGAAAGAAGATGGCGCAGGAAGCCAACCAAATACAACTTGGGCAAAGAAACAGCAAGCAAAATATACACAGAGACTCATCCCAAAGCCGATGGCGCATACATGCACAGACACACATACACACACACACACACACACACACACACACACACACACACACACACACACACACACACACACACTCAGACACACACACACACACACACACACACACACACACACACACACACACACACACACACACACACACTCACTCAGAAACACAGACACGCACGCACACAAAGAGATGGAGCCAGGGACACAGATGCTGAAGAAAACAGGTGGAGCTGCAAGGCGAGAAGCATACGAAATCCCCGGAGGCGAGAGGCGCTGAGAGAAAGTGAGAGAACAATTCATGAAGGCAGACGCTAAGAAAAAAGAAACGAAGTCTGGCGAAGCATTAAAAGAACGGCGAGAGAAGAGCAGCAATAAAGCAAAGCACGGCGAGGAAAGCAAAGAAGCAGAAAGAGAATAGAAATAAAAAACACTCAAGACAACCCCCGCACCTGTAGCATCGACCGTGGTGCTTGCAACTGCTAACAGAGCAGTGCCGGATGCACTCCATAGAAAATCCGTGGAGTCTGCTGAAGGCAGCACTTGCCAAGCAACCGTACGCACCAAGGCCTTATCATATTCTGCTGCTGCTGCTGCTGCCGTTGCTCCAGTAACCGCAGCAAGAGCGCGGGAGGCTGGCACCGACGCAGCAGCAGCAGCTGCTGCTGCTGCTGCTGCTGATGCATCACCACCAGCATCCGCTGCTGCAGCACCCGTTGCACTTGCACCCCCCTCTCCACACTTTTGCAGCTGCTCCTGCAGAAGATCCAGCAGCTGCTGCTGTGGGTTTGGTGTGGGGTCGAAAGCAGCTGCTGCTTCGGGGTCCTCTCCTCGTTCCTTCGCTGCTGCTACTGCTGCAGCAGCAGCTGCTGCTGCTGCAGACACATCTGGGATCTCGATGACCGAGAAAGAAGGAGGGCAAGCAGCAGCCTGCTGCTGCTGCTGCGTAGCTCCGAAGGAGAAGCATGCAATGCATAGGCGCTGCTCCTGCTGCTGCTGCTGCTGCACCTGCAGCACGGGGCCAATTCCAAAGGTCTTGAGACGCCTTAAGAAGACAGAGAAGAGAAGGCGGCTGAGGTCGTTCCCAGCGTACACCTGAAGCCATCACCCCATACCCACCACTCACATAGCGAGTCACTGTATTTACAGGCGATACATTCCAGCAACAGCAGCGAAGCTGCACAGAAGCACACTTTGGTAAGCCTGTTCTGCTGCTGCTGCTGCTGCTGCTGTAACAGTTGTTACTGCAGCTGCTGCAGAGCTCTGCAGGGGAGAAGGCCCAGCAAAGGCAAAGACGCGGAAGAAAGGCGAAACCGAGAACACACCAAAACAAACACAGACAAGGCTGCAGGTTGCAAGGAGAGAAAAGAGAGGCTAGAGATAAACACTTAGACGGAGGATAGAGACAAACAAATCTAGAGACAGCGCAAAAACCGGGGCCGGAGAAACAAGAAACATGAACGTTTAAAGAAGAAAACACAAAAAAAACATAGGAGAACACCGGAAAGAAGACTGGAACAAACCCACACCTTGCACACCAAGGAAGAGGCACCGTAGCAACACAAAAAGAGACAGAGGAAGTAACAGCTGCAGCAGCAACAAAGACAACTGCTCGCAACAAGAGACACCGCCCCCTACGCACCATAAGATGGGGCCTCTTTGGGATGCAGCAATAGGCTTCATCGTCTCTCCACTGCAGCAGAGGCCAAACTAGCCGTTTCTGCTGCAGCGAGGCAACGACCCTCCCCGTTGCAGCCTCCCACACAAACACATTGTGATCCGCTGCTGCTGCTGCTGCTGCCGACGTCGCGGCTGCAGCTGCAGGCGCCCCTGCAGCTGCAGCAGAAGCCGACGAAGAAGCAGCTTCCGAGTTGCTGCTACCCCCATCCGCAGCGCACTCGCTTGCAGAGCTGCTGCTGCTGCTGCTGCGCTGCTGCTGCAGCAGCATCGTCCGCAAGTCCAGCTGAATGTTTGCTACCAAGTAGGTGCCCAATGGGGACCAGTGCAGTGCCTTAACTTGCGCATCAGGATCCACCTGCAGCAGCTGCTGCTGCTGCTGCTGTTGCTGCTCCTGTTGACCCTGAGGCACTATTTCCGGCTTCAGAGGCATGCGCACAAGCTGCTGCTGAAGCTCCGCAGCAACCAACTGCAACACGCTCTCCCTAATGGCCGCTGCTGCTGCTTGAGCTGCCGTAGGCGCTGCTGCTGTTGCACCGGCGATCGCAGCGGCAGCAGCAGCAGCAGTGGCAGACCTCTTCTGCTCGCCCTGGTCCTGCTTCAGCAGCCAGTCAGCACGCAGCAGCTGCTGCGCTGCTTGCTGCTGCAGCTGAGGCCCCACTTTCCACGTAGGGTGCTCTAACAGCAGCAACCCTTCTGCTGCTGTGACGACAGCCAACCGCCTCCCGCAGGGCGACCACGAGGCCTCCTTCGTTGCACCCGGGACGAACAGGAGCGGCATCAACACGGTTTGCTGCTGCTGCTGTTGCTGCGGCTGCGCCTGCCCGGAGGTGCTGCTGCTGCTTCCATCTCCAGCAGCATTCGCCGCAGAATCAGCCGCTGCAGCAGCGGGCTGCTGCTCCCCAGAAGCAGCAGCTGCTCCGCCTGCCGCTGCACTGTGTGTTTCATTTGCTGTTGCTGCTTGTGGAGCCAGCTGTACCTTCAGTAGCTGCAGCAGGGTTAAACCCTTCTTTTCACTGCATAGCAAGCAACAGCCGGGCTCAGTACTAACGACCTGCGGGAGAGGAGGAACTGCTGCTGCTGCTGCCGCTGCTGCTGCTGCAGCCTCTGCTGCTGCTGCTTGATCGGCGGGGTCGGAGCCCGCAGCAACGGACGGGGGCGTCCCTTGCCGATCCCCCGCTGCTGCTGCTGCTGCAGTTGTTCCTGCACTTGCTGCTCCCACCGCTTCTGCGCTCGGAGTCGCTGCTGCTGCACTAGGGCCATCCGTGCTGTTTGCTGCTGTCGCTGACGCTCCAGTCTCGTTCATCTCCACAAACGCAGCAGACCACGCGCCTAACGATGACAGATAGTTTCAATCTGCTGCTGCTGCTTTTGCTGCTTCTGCTGCTGCTGCTGGCGGTGTTCTTTCTCGCGCTGCAGTGCCCGCAGGTCTGGAGAGAAGCTGTTCACTTGCTGCTTCGCGCACCAACACTGCTGCTTCCGCTGCTCCTGCGGCAGCAAAACCTGTCGATGCTTTCCACAGCAGCTGCAAGTGGGGTGAAGGCTGCTGCTGTGGAGGTGCTGCTACCTTGCTACCAGCTGCTGAATGTGTGCTGCAGCAATAGCTGCTGCTGCTGCTGCTGTTGCCGCCCTCGTTACTGCGGCTGTTTCCTGTTGCTGCAGCAGTAGCCGCTGGTTCTGCCGCTGCACAGACGATGTACGCCTGTGCCGCACGCCCGTGCACCTGGAGAGAACTGTTTCTGTTGGCGCCGCTGTCTGCTGCAGCAGCAGCAGATCTATCAACCCGGCGCTAACAGAGAATAATGCTGCTACGCAGCTGGTGTTGATTAGCTTGTGGAGTTCTTAATAAACCAACGGAGACAGGTCAGCGCAGTGGAACAGCAAAGCCACCGAGCGCTGCTGCTCTTTGAATGTGCAGCTGCTGCAACGCTTGCAGCAGCAGATGCAACTTGATACAAGAAAGAAGAACTGTTGAGGTTGTGGTTCGTCTATCTCTTAACGCCGCAAGAGAAACTGCTGCCGTAGGCAAGCTGCTGCATGCACGAAATGAATGCTGTTTCAGTGTATGCGCAGCTAACGTGTGGTGGTGCAGGCCTTGAACGCACCCCAAATGGGTTGAACAAGGCACTAACTAGCAACACGCCTTTAAGCTGTTGCTGCGGCACCCGGTTGGCACCGTAAGCGGCAACACAATAGAAACTGCGATCCTCACTCAAAAAACCTCTATAATACGGGCAAGCAAAGAGACACGAAGGCACAAACCAGAACACAAGAGCCCCGTAGGAGGCGGCAGACCCTTTGGGCGCACGCTCTATGAATATCTTACTAGTGAGGCAGACAGCAAATGCAAAAAGAGGCAACCTAAGCTTCCAGCCGCTGCTCCTTCACCTCCTGAATTCACTACTGAAGCATCCACAGCAAATGCAAAAAGATGCAACCTAAGATTTCAACCGCGGCTCCCGCTGCTGGTGCTGCTGAGTGATAATGCTGTTACTTAAGCTGCGGCTGCCGATGCTGCTGCTGCGCCCTGCAGCAGCAGTCTCTAGAGAAGACAGAGAAGCTGTGGCAAATGATGCAACACTCTTGGTCCTAGACGTTATGCCAACTGCATAGGAGGCAGCAGTTGTTGTAGCAGAAAAAGCAAATGCCTCGCTGCAGCCGGTGTGGTACATGCAGTTCAGGTGTACAGACACCAAATTTCGCCGCAGTTGCTGCTCTCCAACCACGGAACAGCAGCACAATAATGAAAATATATATGAAACATAGACGGAACCAGAGCAACCAGAAATACTCTAATGCAGAGAAGAGCCGCAGCAGGGCTGCAGACGCCGCGCGCGGGTCTAGGGTATATGGTACAGGGTTAAGAGGGGAACATGTCCCTGAAGCGTGGGAACTTGCAAGGCAGAAAAAAGCGTAGAGAGACACACAGTGCTGTTTTGCGCTGCTGATCTCTGTTGCGTTTGCTGCTGCTGCTACGGATGCAGAAGCCACTACAGCAGCAGCCGCAGCTGCCGCTGCTGCTCCCGCGCTGGCGGTCTGCGCAAAGCAGAAAACTCAGAAGGACAAACACCACCTTCTTCTTGTTGATTAGAAAATAAGACCACAAAGATGGAACTTTGTACCCTTTTTGCCTTTAAATCCTCTCTTTAGCTTGGCACGGTTCCCCCCAGGGACCCCCCACGGCCCCCTCTCTGGCAACACCCAAGCTCCAACTGTAGCTACAAACACTGGTCTTTTCTTACGCTTAACTCTAATTATAGAAGTGCATATCAACGGTTGGACTGGAGCTTCGCCACAAGACACAAGATATTTCGTGCTCAGTTCACCGGTGTGGGGGCCCCTGTTGCAGCGAGCAAATGCATTCTGTTGATGGGGTTAGGGGAGTAATGGCTGTGTTCAGCGATGCACTTGCAGGTACACAAAGGAACTCTGGATGAATATGCTATGCTCTTGGTACATAACATTTAGTGAGCTATAAGCTTTCTTCTTCTCCCAAGGTGGTCAGTTGGTGTTATAGTATCCGTGGATGTTAGCTGGCATACCGAGGAACTGAGGGTGGATCTGTTATGCTCTTCATACATAACATTTGGAGAGATTTGCGCTTTCTTCTTGTCCGTAGATGGTCAATTGGTGTGATGAGGGCTGTGGATTTTAGCTGAGCACCGTGTTTGAATTGCAATATAGTCAAAAACTTAAGACGAGAATTCCGAAAAAATCCGTAGACCGCCCCCTTCAGCTGCCAGGCATCCTGAGTATATCGGTACGACGGTCAGCCCCAGGCTGCTGCGGAGACGATGTGTGTGCCGCTTATGAGTTGCAGCTCATATTGCGGCACGTCCCGTTGCAACGCAGCTTCATAAGCAAGTGTACCCATGCGTACTTAATAAAGTAACACTGTAGAGTGTATAGGTGTAAAGCATTCACTCAACCCTCAGTAGCTAACATGCACGCAAGTAGATGTACAGGCTCCGACCTGGGGTAGGGCACGCTACATCTGGTCCCTATCCTTCCCCAAGCAACGCAGGTACTCGCGTGCTCCATCCCCCATCAAAGGGTGATACAACGAGGGGAGGTGTCCTGCAGGACTTGCTGCTGCTGCAGCGATTGTTGTTTCTGCGGCTTTGTCGGTTCCTCCTGCTCGGTCGCTCACTGGTGCATACCTGGCCACTGCATAGCTTGCTGTTGCATCGCTTGCTTCTTCACCACTTGTTTCCAGAGTACCCGCTGCTCATGGCGCAATTTGTGCCACTGCTACTTCCAAAGAAGATGGCGGCTGGTCCTGGCGCAGAAGAGTAGGCATGTACAAGCATGCAAGAGCCCTCTTCTCGAAACAGCAACAGAGCAATTCTCCACAAGGAATGCTGCGCGACACTACTTTATATCCAGCCATGCACGCCCACACTTAGTAGTTGCCGCCGCCGAGTCAAGGAGGGTACATAGATGCTCCTTACAAACTGCTTCGCTGTTGCCACTTGAGTGTTCTGCTTCCCGGTCACTTGACGTAGGATTTTCGTTTTGTATGACCTATGCGAATCTCTACAAGTGGGTCTATGCTCTCAGTATTGTCCAGCTGCTCCTTCTCACAATAACGTTGCAGTCGTTTTGAGAGATTTGCAAGTCATTTCGGTGACCCCTGAAAGTTTGGAAAGCATAAGGATGCATAATGGTGGCATCTCCACGGTGGAGGGTTTAAGTCGACGATGTAAGCCAGTACGTTGACCTCACACCGACAAGCAAACGAGTCAACCCCATGCATGGCAATCTTCTTCGGATGCTCGCCCTTCTGCAAACTTCAAAGAGAATAAAACTTCACTAAAATCAAGGTACTGGAGTTAAATGCGACTGTTGTACGCCCTTTCTGTTGGTTCCCTGCCTGGCATTTGTGTGCTTTCAGTGCATAGGCGAGTTTCTGCAAATTGCGTGTGGAAGGCGGCAGCAACAGGCGCGCGGGGCTGGCACTCAACAGCCACGTTGAATCTTAGATCACACAATATTGTTCAGCTACTGACTAGGAACACCAAAGAACGTTGGGTCTAGGGGTGCATTGCAGTATTGTGAACGTATTGTTTACAAGGAAGGAAGCCGAGTCACTTTGATGAATTCTACTGGGTACAGAATCGGACATACCGCACCAAAGTGCTGTTGGTGCTCTTAATTTAACCGCCTGCTTCCGGGATGTTCGTGGTGGTCATGTTGGTCTTGTTATAATTGAAATCAAGCCACTTCAGGTACTCGCGCCATAATGTATCAACGAGTGTCGGGTTCTTCTCACTTAATATGTTTTGAGGAAAACTGTTAGCTTGTAAACGTGACTAATGAATATCCCCTCCACACTCCTACTGCGGCAACTCAGCTCAAACAGGGGATAAATGGTGCATATTTGCTGAACCCATCCACAACGTAATGCTGCCACAGCCTCCAACTGGTGGAAAACCCACTACCAAATACACTGCGATATCGGTAAGGGACCCTTTAGGAATCGGAAGAGTGTACAAAACTACGGGTTTGAGACTGTTCCGCTGCTATTGCTGCAGCGATTCAGGGAAAACGAGGACGTGTTCTGCGTCCAAGAAGTCTTCCCTGGGTCATGCAAAGGACCGGGCCACCTGGCCCGCTATTGTGTCGACCTCGTTACGGCCTGCTGAAGCATGATCATGTATTTTGCTGTATCGTACTGTACGAGGAGAGCTGCAATGCCTCATCATATTACATGGGTTGCGGCCCATAATGTAGTAGTGCTTCTCATCCGTTGCTGAGATCTGGTAGAATCGCTAGCTCGCAAATGCATGAGAAATAAGGACGCATTTCGAAGAAGAAAGCGGGAATAATGCGCTGGGGATCACCTCGGTATCACCCTTGATATCCTTAAAGATGAAGTCGTACGGCGTTGGACAGCAGAGCCACCGAACGAACCTTTCGTTATCGGCCCCTTGAAAACTCTTTGTCAGGCGTATCGGGGATTAATGATGTACTTGCACTGTGGAGTGACTGCTACAAAAACAAAATCCATACTTCTTTAAATCCTGCCAGAACGCGTAGAACTGTCTCGCATACCGGATACTTCAGAGATCGTTCCGAGATACTGTGTGAACAGCATATGCGTTCTTGGTGCTTATGATTCGTTGGCATGATGAAGCTCGTCGCACTTACTCCTATGTCGTTAGCACGGTTACTAGGAATAAGGGCTTGCCGAGATCGAGAAGCGCAATTACCGGAAATGATTCCGGGCGCCTATCTGGTGAAGCTTGGGGCAGCTTCTTCTTGGGTCTCTGAGCAAATAAGTTGCGTGTCCTTCTTGAGTATATCCGTTAAATAAGCGACTCTACGAGTGAATCCAATCATGAAGTTGCTGTAGTACGTTTCACAACAAAAGAAATTCTGAACGCCCAAGTGAGTGTCCAGGGGAAGCGGCCACCTCCGAACAGCCTCTAGCTCCCCTGGATCTGTTTCGGCACCCACTGCAGAAAGTCGAAGCCAATAGACTGCTAGAGCATGCAAGGGGCAAAGCAGTTCTTCGATCACGGACATTGGAAACTTTCGTTTCACGCATTCGTGCCAAGTTCCGCCCTCCCTCTTCGCCCTTACCGGGTTGTGCCCAAACAAGCTTGCGGTCGGCTGAGCGGTGCCTTTATGTAGCAGTTCGCTTACTTACTTGCCGCTTGATAGTTTACTGAAATGTGCGCAACGATGTTTGCTGTCCTCCACAGCCTAGAGAGAACTGAATGCTGGAAGGCAATGCGGCAGGGCACCAGGGATCCGTGAATGGTGCACCGATATTTGAGCGCAGATAGGCTACTGCATGCCAAGTCATTGTAAGACCAATGCCTGTGGCCATATCGAACACATCAAAAGGTAACTTGCGTCTCCTTCCATTTGAAGTTGCCGCGTCAGGAGGAAGCGCTGCAGTGTACGGCAGGCTCCGCCTTAGCCTTGCTGCCCCTGGAACCACGACCGCTGTGGTCAGGACACGTCAAGGGCGAAGCACACACTAGTTTTGGGGGAACCACTACACTTGTAGTTTTGACTCTTTCAAAGCCCTTGACGACCCGAGGCTAAGACCTAGGAGTTTCGTTACAGCGAGCCTGCAACGAGAGTCTTTAACCTTAGCCAAACGCCGTCGTAAGCTCCAAAAGAGTCACAATAGTAAAGAAAAAACATACTAAAAAGCAGGTGATTCCACATCCGGTCTCCAGGAATTCTGGATACACTGGCACTAGGGCCTGGGGCTGCTCCTGTAGAGGGAGCAATTTTTCATGAGCTGCAGCGCAGCATACTCCAACTCCTGCTACAAGGGAACCCCACATGCAAGCATGCACGAGCCCGTTCGCCATGCATGCAATAACACTGTAGGAAACTTCTAAACACTTCCTCGGCCGACAGCAACCAGCCTTCGGGAGAGTAGAAATACATGCACCAACTTCAGAGTGACCGTGCTACACTGGTAGGCAGCGGAGGGTTCGCATGCCGCCCATCTGCGGGCGATGCTGTCATGTTTCAGAAATACTTTCCATCCACAGACGAAGACTCGTTCGATACAGGTGTTTGCAAAGAACTCTACTCTGCTCGGATTAACCTTGTACACCCACTGCGTCTGCAGTAGTGGGGGCTGGTCGACGTCTCCTATCGCTCGTTCCGTGATAGCATCAATGCTTGAAGCGCACATAGCTCCCCATAACACTTTGAATTCTACTTTCAGGTTGCTGTGGACGCATACATTCTAATGCGTACAGATCACGTGGTGATTCAACATCGTCATCTTGGTTTTAAGGGCGCAGCTGCGCGTCCTAGGTTGTGCAAGTGAGTAAGCCCTCCAGTTAAAGTTAATGTTGGGTAATCTAGATGCTTAAATTATTCCTATTTTGTATTATATTATTTATTTTAATCAAAATGCCTCAAGGACATGCACGCAGCTTTTACTGCCGTTCCGCAAATGGAAGCGGTTGTTGCAAAACGGCACAGTACACAGCGGCACATAGGTGGGCGAGCCCAGTGGAACGCAGTGGCGAGCCTTTCATCTAAATCTCATGACTATTATTATTTTTTGGTTTTTCCTCGGTTTCTACGCATTTGTACTTTCTTTCAGAGCCGAGGGAGAGACATGCAGAACTTGGATTCCTTGAAATGTAGCGACACTGCGCTACCGACCACTTAGACGGCCTTTGTCGTTGCAGCTTTTGGTCTACAATACGTTTTCTTTTTCAAAAAAGAAGGTGTTTTTAAGGCTGTCGAGCAGAGGAAAACTGCATCAATAGGCTGTCGGGTTGCGTCTTGCTCACGAGGGCCGCCACAATGAAGCTGGAGGCGGCGCGACAGTTAATAGCGAAAAAGCTGCAATCTTTCCGTATGGAAGATGGCGAACTGGTGTACCATACACTCTCATTTCTGGTAGAGTCGGAGCAAGGGCCTTTCTGGAAGGTGTATCTGCTGAATCCGTCTGTGTCCTACGATGATGCCTTATATGTCTTGCTGGTGAGTTGGTGCATTCATATACTGCTAGGGTGGGCTCGCTGCGATTGCAAGGAGCCCCTCCCTCTATGCTTTTTAGCGACGCAAGTTTACAGGAACTGCCACACGAAACAGATCCATGTTCTACGCCCTGCACGTGCACGGGGAGATCTCTTGCTGAAACCAGACAGAAAGCAGTCTTCCTGAAGCAGCCGCGGCCTCATGCACTGCTTCTGGTGTACAGTGAAGAGGTATACATGCAGCATTCAAGGATTTTGTTTGCGTTGCATGCACCATTGCAGGCCTTGTTGGGGGTGACTTTACTACGACTGATTATTAGCGGGGGCAGCAGCGGCGCATTGAGACGTCTGCCCTGCATTTCAAAGAAACTGGCGAAGTCTACAAATTGCGTTCGCCCTGGAAAGCTGCACAAGTTCGGTGAAAACGTTTGGTGGGTTTAATTGGGTTCGTTGTTTATCTGGGGCTAAGACAAGTGCATGCACAAATTCAGTTTCCGTGTTGCTGCATAACGAACCCGTTGCTGATACTGCTTCTGCTTCTGCTTGCTTGCTGCTACTCAGGTATACGATATGGCACGGCACTGCTTTCTTCTGGGGCTGTTATGTCTTGTATAGCGAATTCGGAACAGCAGAAGTGCCAGGATGGCCTCGGCTGCATCTGCAGCGCCCCGACGGCCGCTGGTTCGTAGCTGCTCATACACCTGAAGAGAGCCTAGCGAAGAGAGTTGTTGTTTGCAACCCCCCTATTCTCCCGGAACTTAATTCTCTTCGTTTTCCTATACTTTTTTTCTGCTGTAAATCCATGCAGGTACTGGATGGCTGCTCCCGAAGAAGTTGCAAGAGGATCGGGGGGCTGGCCGCTGCTCCTGCCCTCCATTACAATGCGCAATTATTATTTGTTTCAACTTGGATTTTGGCTGAGCTGTCTGGCGTTTATTAATCTTGAAACGAGGAGAAAAGACTACGCAATTCTCTTTCTTCATCATGTTGTCACCATCATGTTGGTGCTGTTCTCGTACTGCTGTTCATATTGGAAAGTCGGCGTGGTGCGCATGCAAGCAGAAACCCTAAACTAAAGACAAGTTCTTTGAATAGATCCCCTGATCTTTGTGGAATATATATCTGCATGCAGACTTGTACATATTGGAGTGCAATTTCATCAATTGCATTGCTGATGCTGCTCGCGTACACATAGCCACAACTTTGTTATTGTTGTAAAGAAGGTATTCATCATATTTGTTTGGGTCTGTTGGTTTGCTTTGAACAGGTGGTGCTGCTGCTTCATGATGCGGCAGACATGTTTTTGTATCTCTCGAAATCTCTGCACTACAGCCGCGTTCGTTCTGGCGCCGTAGAGATTTCCTTCGGTACATTTGTCGTCGTGTACTTTACTACCCGACTGGTTATATTCCCTTTCTACTGCGTGCGGCCCAGCCTGAACACTGCCCTTATTAGGGCGCTGACACAGGACTTCGTGGAGAGTCGCTGGCGTATCCCTGGGGGTACTGTTCTTCCTGCTTTCCTCGTTGTTCTTCAGGTGGGTCTTTTGCACCGTTTCGTTCGTCTTTAAGCCTTTGTTCTTTTTGCCATTTAATGCTGCAGCAAATGCACTGGATCGTACTGCGGTCTTTGCTGCTTTAACAGACTTCAGCTGCGACCTCGCTGTGCATTCTGCGGTGTCTGTTCAGATTCTGCATATTTATTGGTTCTGGTGTATCATCAAGATGGTCATTGGACTCGTTACTGCCGTCCGCAGTGCGTCGCCACCCTCTATTAACAAACATAATTTAAATATATGCATATACATGTATATATATGTAAATGGATGCTAGAAATACTATATATACACTCAAATATATGCAAAATGAGCGCCCGAACGCTGCCTATTGCTGCCTCTTCCTCGCATTCCTCAGCGTGTTGTACAGTGTATGATGAGGAAACCTATCATGCACAACACACCACTGAGAAGAAACGTTTGTGCTACTACTACTGACTACTACTACTACTGCTGCTGCTGCTGCTGCGGTCTTGTGCTTTCTTGCTGCAGATGGATCGCGCGAAGACTGCGAAGACGTCCGGAGTGAAGACGAAGACGACGGCGAGGACGAGAAGGGGGATGACGAGCCAAAGGAAAATAAGAAGAAACAATGATTATTACTCATGCATGAATGCTTGCATTTGTGCATGCACACTGTAGGGGCAATACAGACGCCTCGATCTTCTTATTCATTTTCTTCCGCGTACACTGCGCTGGCAGAGAAGATGGAAGGGGCAAGCGCAGTGGTAGTTAGCCTCTGGAGGCCCCCAGGAGACGTTTGATTTGTGAGTATTCTGGATGGGTTAAGCAGCTGCTTCAGCTTTCCCTGTCTGCTGAACCGCACGCCGCACTGCCGAGGCCTCGCTCTTGTTTATCTCTCGCCTCTCCTGTGTCAGCAGTAGACATCGGGAAAAACTTCAATGTTCTTCACCTCCAATTTGTTTAAATAGATCTCGTGCACACTCAGCAGCAACGCGCAACAATTATACCAATAAATAACAAGAATAACGAATACAAACAATCACAGAGAGGAACGACAAGTATAAGGCGGTAATAATAGTAATAATGAAGACAGTAATAACATAGGTATACTGGTAGTAGTATTAGCAATAATAGCAATACCAATATTATAATAATACTAGTTGTAATAATAATACAGCGGCGTGGTGGAGTAAAAGGCAAAACAGCCCTCAGCTTCAGCAAACAAAGCAGCAAAACAACGCCGTCTGCGGTGTCGTCATGAAGATCTTCTTGTTTATACAGAACAACATTTACTGGCGTTCCCTTCTAAAAGAATAATAATGCCTAATGCTTTCCTCTAAGCTGAGACGCCCTGCAACAACCCACCGGGAGAGAGACTGACGGATATATGTCTTGTGCTGCAGCAGCAACAGCTGCAGCAGTAGCTTCTGCTGCCGTTGCAGCAGTAACTGCTGCCGCTTCTGCAGCAACAGCCTGTGCAGCGGTTGCAGCAGCAACAGCTGCGGCGTTTCAAACAGCAACTTGTGCGGCAGCTGGTGCTGGCATTGCTACCGCAGCAGCAGCTGCTGCTGGCACTGCAACCGCAGGAGCAACAGCTGCTGTTGTTGCCGCACGTTTAAATCAGAAGCCATAGTGTACAGGGGGCCGTCTGCCTCGGTGCAGCAGAGACCTTAAAGCAAAAACCTGAGGAAGTAGCTGAGCAGCAGCGCGAGAAGCGGCAGCAGATACACCCACCAGGGGCTGTTTGCACTCTCCAACTTTAATTTTTGCATTCTTACGAAGCCAATGAGGGCCTTCCAGTATTCTTCTTCCTTCTGCTGCTGCTGCTGCAGCTGCTGCTGCTGCGGCGTGCAGTCCTTGAGGCCTGGCTGCCTCGCAAGGCGTTTTGCTGCTGCTGAGCTACCCTCAGTTGATTTGAAGACAGACAAACCCCGCAGCAACTGCCACCGATTATCTTGCCCGAAGAGGAACTCCACGCGCACCCTTTCGCTGCTTTCTTCTTCGTCTCCTGCTGCAGCAGAGGCGGGAGCAGCAGCAGCAGCAAACTCCGCAAGCACCATAGCAGCCCCATGAGCCTGCTGCTGCTGCTCCTGCAGCTCCTGCTGCAGCGTCAGCAGCCGCCGCTGCTGCAAAAGAGACACAGAGATAGCAGAGCTTCCTGCTGTCTCGGTGCTGCTCGCCTCCCAGACCTCCTCCAGCGAGTTGCCTATACACCCCACTGCTGCGCGTACCCAATCTGCAATAAGGGCTTCCATTGCTGCTCTTAAAGGCTGCGACTTCGCAGTCAAAGAGACCCCTAAAAGAATAAAGTTGCAGCGGATTGAAGCACAAGTCGCCCCCAACACCTCCTGCTGCTGCAGCTCTTCGCGAGACAGAGCAGCAACTGAGCCGTCTTCCTTTAAATGCAGACACACAGAGGGTATTCCTGAAGAAAGTAATTCAACTTGTAATGCATGCATGCAGCCATCCCCTTCGACACCTGCTGCAGCAGCACCATTGCCAGAAGCAGCAGCAGCAGCAGATGCTGCTGCTTCTGCTGCAGCAGCAACAGTCATGTCTGGGTCGCAGATAACGCCTCTAACCCTCAAGGAAGAATCTGCAGGGTCTGCTGCACGCCGCTCAGAACAGTAATAAGAAAAAAAACCTTCCTCCGAGTTTGCTGCTGCACCCTCGAGACCCCCCAATGCACGCAGGGCCCCCCGGAGGGCCCCCCGCAGCTGAGGCGTGTTGAAGATTGCTGCTGCAGACTGCTGCTTGAACAGACACGGTGGCAGCAACAGCGTCATGTTAAGACTCATAGGACTGCAGCAGAGCTGTAGCTGCTGCCGCTGCCGCTGCTGCTGCTGTTGCTGCTGCTGCTTGCCCTGTTGCTGCTGCGGTGGAGTGCTGGAAGGCAGGGGGGGCCAGAGCTCTGCTGCAATTAGAGGTGCTGCTCCCGAGCTGCCGGAGATGCAGGAGAAATATACAGATATGTCTTGCTGCTGCTGCTGCTGCTGCGGCTGCAGCAGCACAAGCAGGAATGGCTGCTTCAAAGCCTCCTTCTTGCTGCTGCTCCTGCCCGCATTCGCTTCCTGCTGCAGCAACGCAGCAGCAGCAGCCTCATCGACGGCGTTTAGGCCCTGTAAGGACCCCTCCGCCACCGCTGCTGCAAGCCGGCGCAGCTGCAGCTTCTCCTGCAGCTGCTGCTGTTGCTGTTGCAGCTGCTGTTGTTGTTGTTGCTGCTGCTGCCCTGCAGCAGCACCTACCCGAGCCCAAACCCCTACCACCGCGAGGCCGCCGACCAGGTGGTGCGAGCAGCAGAGGGAAGCCTG